CGGTGTTGTAGAAGTTGTTTTGTAGTGTGTTGTATTTGTTTGGAATCTTTTGCTATTGCTTGTACTTGTTGGCGCTTTATCTGTGCTATATTGTGTTCCCTTCCATATTTTTGTGCAGGTGGAGCCGGGGGTCTCTTGGAAACAGCCTCCCTACTACCGAGTAGGGGCAAGGTCTGCGTACACACACCCTCCCCAGACCCTACTGTTGTGGGATTCACCTGGGTTGTTGTTGTTGTTGTAAATCGGTCGGTCAGATCAGAATCGAGTTCGGGTCACTTCGAAGGTTTGGATTGAGAATTGCATGTTCATGATCCAGTGTCGTCGGGTTCGGACCGACCCAACGAGTTATGGCTTTGATTTTAAAATTTTTAAGTTCACATTAACATGCAATTGTATTTTGTACTCAAAAAAATTTAAATATCAAAAAATATGTACAGTATTAAATCTATTAGATTATTTTATTTTAAATTCTGAAATAATTTTTAAAATATATTTTAAATGCATAAGTTCTAGAAAAAAGTAAGATATTTATGCAATATCATTTAAATTTTGTCCGAAAATATGAATTTCTACACTAAAAACTAGTAGCAAAGTATATGATTTTGAAAAACTCTTACATTAGCGAGTCGGTCCGTTCAGGTTTGGTCGGGTTTGACCCATTTTTAGCGGGTCATTTTGGGTTCGGTCAACTTCGGGTTCGGTCATCAAAACCTTTGTTCAAAATCTAGTGTTTCCGGGTCGGGTTTCGGACCAAAACAGGTCAGGTCATTTTTTGTCAGGTCTATTATATTCAGCCAATATTTAAAACCTACAATTACTATTTACATCCATAATTTGATAAATTAAAATAACATGATTATAATATAAAATTTTAATTTATTTTTAGAACTTCTGACGTAATTTTTCAAATATGAAAATTTAATTTAATTTTTTCTATACTAATCTTTAAACAAGATTAATTTCAGAACACTTTATTTTGTCTCGTGATCCGATCCCCTTTTTAAGTTAGATTTGTCGTAAACATATAAATAGTCTCTTTAACATGGTCGTCTCCGAAGAATCAGTGGCATGATACGACATGGAGAATAATTAACATTATATTAACAAGAACAATAGAATGTCAAATTTATGGTATATATGAAAAAAACGAGGCCTCCATCGAAAATGGGCGCCCTAAGCCGCCCATTTCTTTACATATAATAAAAATGATATACTATCGGTTCGGACTATAAGCTAGGAAGACTAAGAATTTGGATATCCTTTCGACCAGCCGAGCTACACCCGCAGGTATTGGCGTCTAGCTCTTTTTAATTTTTTCTTTTACAGCTAGGTCGTTTTATGGGGGTGCGTGGTACGTGCGTGTAATTGATGTCATGCATGCATATGTTTTGGTGTTTTGCATGCATTTGCATGATCGATCTGAAGAGATCGAATTAGATGTATCAAAACTAACCAACTTGTGGGCGTTGATGGAGACAACGATTCTTAGCTTGCTCCAAAACATTAAAAGAATGGTCAAAAAAAACATTTGTTTTTTCTAAATTATTTTCCCATTATTGATCTGAAGAATATGTATGTATAGAAATGGAAGTTGAATTAATTATAAGATTGGGTGGGTGGGTGGGTACAGAATAGCATATGCTACGGGAACATTAGCAACAACTCAGATGGTGGCTTCCTCCTACGCAGACATGACAGCTAGCTCAATATCTATCTATTATTCAGAATCTCAACTCTCCCCCCCTAAATTACTTGTCTTAGTTTGGCTTTCATGCTAATTTTAACCATAAATTATAAGAAAAAATGTGTTTGCGACTAAAATTTACTCCCTCCGTGGTTTTTATGCTATATAAAATTTGATATATCAAAACTAGATCTTAAGATTAATCCAGTTATATTAAATTTATATTATAATTCAATATATTTTTCTCATAATTTGTAGTCAAAGTGTTTAATTCTTTGACCAAATACTATTCAAAATGAGTAATGTTTTGTGGGACGGAGAAGTATTTAAAAGGCCAACTAGGACAAATAATTTGAGGAGAAGGAAGTATTATCTATCTATCTATTTAGTACTCGTCTTTTGTTCCTACTCCCTCACACTGGAAATAATATTTTTAAGTTGATTTTCACGCATTTTTAGGATATATAAAAAACAAAACAAGATTAGTACTTACTACGTTCAAGAAAAATCGTTCCATTACGCGTTACGAGATTTGGTCAAGTTTATTTTTAATTTAATTTATTTGATTGTAGGTGCATATAAAATAAATAAACATAATTTATATCATAAAAAACTACATAAAAAAATTCAAAAATAACAAAAATTGAGATGACTGTATTGTTTTATGCAATGAGTAGTGAAAATAAGTAAAATAAAGTGAGTACAGCTTGACCTTCTTAATAGTTTATTATGAGAAGATCTCTTATATCCGAGGTAGTATTTTGGAAGACCATTTTTTGACGGAGGAAGTATTTACTTTCTAGGTTTTCTGACACCATAAAATTCACAAGACACATTTATTTCTCATTCCTCCCAAAATAAGGATCCCATTTTAGTATATGATATTTGCATGAAGTTATTTAATTTGTTATATAATGTATTTGAATATTGGTGCAAAATTACTAAGAAAATTATGGAATATAGATAGAACAATAAGTGACTTGAGTATTTTATCTTATCCGATCCTCAAGAACGAGATCAATGTTAGATTATTGTTAAGAACTTTGCACCAAGAACATGATACTATACTCTTTTTCTCCCATTTTAGACATTCGGTCAGACTTTAATTTTCACGATTCTCTTAGTTAAATAATGATCAATCATTGTAAAATATAATTTAAGTAAAAAAATGTCAAACTCAACAAACACACTAGACAATATATACTATCTAAGATTAATTGCTAAGACAATGGATGGAATGAGTAATTAATTACAGAGGAACTTTTTTTCTTGTTTTGTTTTTGAAAAAAGCTTAATTAGCATCCAAAGATTAGACTTGAGAGGCTCAACCAATTGAAGAATATAATAATCCCTTCTCACCTTTACTTTAGTCACTAATCCCTGAATTTGATCGATCGATTTGTTGTGATGAGATTGGAGATGCAGACTTTGTTGCAAATTGTGTTCAATAAAGAGATCGACACTTGTTCCCCTATACCACTCCATGTATTCATTTAATTTACACTCTTTTTCATTAGAGAGAGAACCAATTTCTTTTTTTAATATTTCTTCTCTTTCTAAATAAGGTTCTAAAATTCATCAAATATTCTACACAATATTTGTGGACACTCTTACAGTTTTTTTGTCCTTATTTAAAAAAGTATCCATCTTATTTGTATCCATTTACTTATCTCGCTTATCTTTAGGTGCATCAAATGCATTATTCTGTACCTTGGGTGCACTAAAGGATGTTCTCTCCTACAAATTACAAATGAGAGATCACATGTTCGAATCCATAGAGACATGATATACATTAACTCTTTTTCTTCAAAAGATAAAAAAATTATATTTGAAGAATATTACGTACAATGTAAATTTTATTTCGGGATAGAGGAATATATGCTATAGATAAATAATACTATCTCTGTCCCACAAAACCCTTCTCTTTTTTTCTCATCCGTCCCAAAAAGCTTTTTTCATTTCTATTAAAAAGTCATTTTTATCCTTACTAATTCTTAACCTACCTATCATATCATACTTTTTCACTACTAATCTATCTATCATATCTAAGGGTATTTTTGGAAAGTCAACACCAAAATATACTCCTCTTAAATCTCTTAAAATTCAAAACAAGAAATGTTTTGTATGATGGATGGAGTACTATTTATGTCTTATAATATTTGTCCAGTTTGGTTTTTTGGACTTAACTTGAATAAACATTAATCATCAAATAAATAAAAATTTTATTAGATATTAGTACCAAATTAAAATAATTTTATTAAATTTATTTTACAAAAACTTATGATAAAGTTATTTTATAGTTCTATAATTTTTTTTCTTCATTTTCAATTCAATTCAATTAAGGATAGGTTCAATCAAATTTGGTCAAGATAACCTAAGTTCAATTCAACAGATAACCTAAGTTCAATTCAACACTTTATATATTGCTCATTGCCCTTGCCTTTTCATGAGTACTTTCTTCTATGCATTTCCAATGTGCCAAAAACTCATTTGTTCACAAAAACTCAGGTTGAATATGGGCCATCATTTGATCACAAGAAACTTGTTAGCTAGCTAGGCCGGTTAAATATGGGCCATCATTTTATCACAGAAACTCAGTCCATTGTTAGATTCTTTTATGCATTTTGTGGCGGGTTGGGAGCTAGCCTGGCCCAGTTTGTTAAAAGCAATGTTAATAGACTTGAATACGGGCCATCATTTGATCACGAAAACTCAGTCCCTAGAATAATACTTCATCCGTCCTAATTCTTTCTTCCTAATTTGATTTTTCCCCTTTTTTAATTTTTGGCTTTGTCTTCAAATTTTACCCTTCTTAAAGAAGATTTTTTGAATTTTTTTTGCAATCATTCAAAATTTAGAGTTAGAAGATAATTGGTGTAAATACATGAGGGTATTAATGTCATTTGTCATCTTTTTTTTCTAATGGGAAGATAGTTTTAGGACGGGGAAAAAGGGGAAGTGGGAAGAAAGTTTTAGGACGGAGGGAGTAGGTTGTAAATTTGTATGAACCCAATCAGACCTAGCCCTATTATTTTTGGACCATGCTGTGTATTTTTGTACTCAATTTATATGTAAAAATAAACTATTGCTATTACTCCACCTATTTCAATTTATGTTACCCATTTTATTCAAAATGATTTTCAATTCAATTTATTTAAAAATTTGTATATAAAACTAAAAAATAAAACTATACATGTTCTGAAATTAACATAAAAAATTCAACAAAATAGTAAATTAATGAGATGACTATATTATAAACAATGAACATATAAACAATGAACATGCAACTTTAATTGCATTGAGTAATAGAGAAACTATTCTTTGCACTAGTTTACTTGTCCTTTACATTTTTCTTGAAAAAATCAAACGTATCATTGTGTTATTTGTGTACAAACCTTTCACTTCTTGACCATAATAAATAACATTACAAGCAGAAAATGGAGTTTTTTGTGACATATATCATTCAACACAATTTTCTTTTTATAAAAAAAAAATATTGGTCTTCAAAACAGGAGGAAAAATGAAAAAAAGCACACACTTATCTTTAGCACATCTGCTTAAATATTTGTCAAAGCAAATCCCAAGTGACCATAGGGTTGGTCGAACCGGGTGCTGAACCGGGATCGGCAGCAGAATCAAATGTCTCCCATTGTGTAGTGATCACCACGGCCGGTCCGGTTGCGGTTTTCTGAGCCGGTTCTTCGCTGCTCTGATTCAGCATTGTGTTCTTCATCTTCAACACGTCCAGAGTCTCAACACACTTTTGCACTCTTTCTACCTATTTTTTGCATTAATATAATTACCACCCAAACCCAATTATTTATACAACAATTAAAAAAAATGATTCCAATCAATTTTTTATTTATTTTTAAAACCATACCTGGAATTTTCTCTGGGATTTAACATGGCTTTCACTGGTAATAATGCCATCCAATTTAAGCAGCTGGTTCATCAACAACTCAATCAAGTTTACAATGGTTTTCTCTGCAACTTTTCCACCTTTTGTTATCACAGATTCCAGTGCAGATACCTGTTCATTTCATTTCACAATTCCAAACAAAACGATGATTAAGGCCGCCTTATTTGGAAATAACGTTTTCCATTAGCGTTAATTATCTGCCGATACCCTTTTTCGAAAGGCTGGAGATATTGGCAAAAAGGGCATTCAAATCATGAAAGAAGCTCAAAAAAATACAATCTTTTATTTATATACAGAGAAAAAAGAACCATTTTTTTTTTAAATTATGATACCTGGCCAGCCAACCTATCAACTTCTAAGCTGATTTCAGTGACAGCCTTAGAAGCCATTTCCATCTTAGCATTCTTTCTTGTCTCAACAATTCTCTTCTCCTTACTGATTGGGTCCTCAACCAAAACAATCTTAGACTTGTCCTTCACCCCGGAGACGTCAAGAAAGTCCTTCGACTTCCTCTCCTTGCCCTTGAACAACAACTTTTGGTCTTCGCTGTGCATCCCTGTCGCCCCCGTCAACATCTTTTTCAACTCCCCTACAAAACAATTCAACACTTTCCTAATTACCTTTAGCATTACGCCGATCAACCCGCTTTTAGGTCACCAAAGCTTTGATATAAACATGTTCGAATATAAGATATTTATTTTCTCGACCTACGACCACAAGTTTCTTTTTGCTGTGTTGGTTTCTTAATTGACATGGTTTCAAAGCGTTGATAACCTAAAGATCACGAGTTCGTACTTCACTGTCACCTAGGTAAAAATGATAATTAGTGTTCACGAGCAAAAGTCGACCAGGCACAACTTTTGCTTGCACGAGCTAGTGTAATAGACGACTATAAAACATGAGCAATTTACTTAAATAGTACTAAAACATAATGATTTTCCCTAAATAGAGCCACATGTGTTTTTCTTCCCAATGTAGCACTTTTAGTCATTATGCATTAGTCATTATTCAAATAAATATTCGTCATCACTTGACATTATGGACATTATTATGTGCTATTTAGGGAGTAACACCATTTAAGTGCTATTTAGGGAAATGAAATAAGTGGTATAAAACAATTTAAGTGCTAATAAGTTCAAGTTTTCGGTTGAGTTGGTTAGTACAATATTTTTTTATCAAATGAGCGATAAAAATCGACCGACAAAGTAAATAAAATTTAAACCGGAAATAATTTTAGTACAATATTGAAAGAATAAAGGATAATATTACCGAAAGTGGCTTGGGAGCTGATATTGATTTCGTGATAGACCGACCCATATTTGACCCGGACCCGGATAGTGGGCGGAACCGGGTGGATATCAGAATCTGGGCTCCGTTTCTGGACCAGCATTCCGCAGGGCCTCATCTCCCACTCCTTTTCTTGGCCTCCGGCGGTGCCGATAGAGGAGACGCCTTTCTCCGCCGTCGGTGGAGGCGCGACGGCGGTTCCCGTCCTCCTTCTCATCATCTTGATTTACTTATTAGCTAATTGACGGTGGAAGAAATTGGAAATTCCCAGATCAGAGCATTGACTTCTCGCCGGAAAGATCAATTCACAGCTGACGGAGACATCAAATGCGAAAATCCGACAAGCTTTTTCACGCCCGAACTTGAGAGCAACCCACCAGCCCGACGGCCACGTCACGGCGTTAGAGATAGAAAGATTCCATCTTTTCCCCTGTTTCTTCGCGCAAATAGTAACGGCGGGCGTACGTCAGCGTATAACTGAAAACTTCAAAAGTAACCGGTTGTTGAAGCCCCGGCGGGGAAGTGTCGGTGGTCAAAAGCGCCGGAGAAGGCACGGAATTCTAGATCTTGTTGGGGACCCAAAAAAGAATGTGGGAAATGCGTGGGAAAAAAGAAGTGAATTTATTGCCGGAAGGAAAAATTTCCCGGCGAGTTCGCCGGTAATGGTGTGTAATAATGCAGGGTGAATGAATTATTCTTCCTTTGCCTTTAAACGAGAGGGAATCTATTTTGGGGTTTGGTAGGAGAGGTGTCGAAGGAAGGGGGAAAAAGAAGGAAAGTATACGACTGAGGAATTTTTTGCCTTTTTTTTTCTTTCAATTATTTGTTACGCACTTACGCAGTAGAAATTCGTTTGCGAAATTATTGATTATTGGAGTGCTACATAGGGATTTTATTTACCCAATATTAATGCGTCCTTAAAATAAGATTTGCCATTTGATTTCACAAGGATATTTTCTTTCTTTGACTTTTTTTTTATATTAAACTTTACTTCGTATAAATTTAGGTTACAAAACAAAAATTTAGTTATGATGTAGATTTAATATAATTCATTTTATTGTAACACTTGTGCAGTTTTGATTTATCAATTTTTTTTTAAATTTGTATGATACGGTTTAGCTGTTTTTTATAATGTAGATTTAATATGTTTTTTTCTCTTTTCTTTGATACTTTTTGTTTAAAGAAAAAAACTAAAGTATGAGTAAAACATAGAAAATATATCAAATTAAGAGTTTCATACATTTAAATCAAGAGACAAGAGGTGGCATGATAATTGATTTATCAAATGAGTTTTATAAAATTAGAAAAAATGTTAAATATGGTCATTTAATAATAGTCGGTAAAAAGCCTAAAATTGGAGTCAACATAGAAAATATACTAAAATAGAATTTTCATGCTTATATTTCCAAAATCAAAGATAAAATGTATTTACAATGTTAATCTTACCCACATATAACATCAAAAAGTATTGTGAAATGTCCAAATACAATATCACATTATTACAATGCAAACATCTATTTTTTTTTAATAAAAACTTTAAACTTTGGAATAGCACAAAGCATTGTTCTTTTCTTAATACTCCGTATAAAGTACGGAGTATAAACAACTCCCTCCGTTCCCCAATATTTGTCGACTTTTGACTTTTGGAACTATTCATCTAAGCACTTTGACTCATCAAATTTTCTCAATGTGTAAGCCTAAATATAATCATGTGTGATCTTGTTTGATTTTTCTTAACATATAGATTATTAATATATAATTTTTATAATTTTTTAATATATAAATTACAAGATAAAATGGATTAAAGAAGTACATTAAATGGTGTGTAAAAATGAAAGTGAATAAATACTAGGGGACGGATAGAGTATAATTAAGCATTGAAATGAGGAGTAGCCGAATTAAAATCCAACTTAATATTCTGAAAAACGGATTAGAGGTTGGAAAACATTGGCGTCCCGTGTGTCATTAAAAGATCAAATGTTGATTAAGTAGGGGTGGTGGAAGGAACATCACACCTGCCATTTAGACCTTCCCCTTCCCTGAAAGCAATGTTTTCCACCGACAACTTTTGACGCGCCGGATCCCACGCGTGGCTGCTCGGTAAATTCCTTGCCCCTCGCGTAGCCGGATACCGAAAATATTCGGAAAAATCGAGTGAACTTGGTGACAAATGAGACTAGGGTTAAAAATATTTAGCATAAGTACACAACTTGTTAATTAATTTGATTTTTTCCGCATTTGAACTTTATATTTTAATTTTACAAATTTCGCATTTTATATTCTAAATTCTAACTTTAAATTTTAATCTTCAAAATTTGATTACAATTACATAGTATTACAACATTCAATTCTAAGATTTCGACTTCATTTGAAAATAACATCTTCAATTAGGGTTAACGTTTATAATTATTTTTTACTAGTGCAAGTAATATCTGAAAACGCTAAAACTAAGCATTGTTGTTAGAATGCTAGCTAGTATTTTCGAAAGTAATAAAGTTTAAGCGTTGAAGTTGTTGCCAAAGGACTTACCAGTTTCATGATTCCAACTTACAAACTTGAGACTTTCTTTAAAATTAAAACATATAGAAACAAACCCCAAATCATTATTCCATAGCTCCCGTCTCTTTTATTTATTCATTTTTGTATTTCGTGTGTCAAACTTTAATCAACAATACACAAAAATTCAAAAGAAACATTTATGTCAATATGCCAAAAACATATATGATTCTGCATTAATACTTTAAAATTTTTGCGGTCACTATTTCAAAAAAATAAATATTTTTATAAAATAATACTCTGGAAAAATTTTACTTTCACATAGATCCCTTATCTTCCATAAGTATACATGATTAATGTATTCTTTTCATAGAGTGATCGGTGTATTTCACCCATGACCGGTCAAAGGACGGGACCGAATAGTTGACCGGTCAAAGAGGGCAAGCTTGGAATAAAGATCTGGATCGTCAGTATTAGGATGACTGATTAACCGGAAAGTTGACCGGTATACTTCGGATAAGTGTACCGGTCAAACTATCCCATCATCTAAATTCATCCTTCGAAGTTGACCAAACCAACCCTCAAGAACCAACCGGTGCAGTTTTTAGAGATTGGAGAGTGTCGGCAGGAAGAGTCCAAAAGGACTTGGACTATAGTGGTTGGCATTGCTGGGGAATCAATGGAGATGCTAAAGGAATGTTTCCAAGCCAGAACGCGACAAGGGAAGTAACTCCCCACACAAAACGACAGGGCAGCTCAAGGACGAAGCCAGTCACCTCGCCCACATCAGCAGCGTGCCCCCACGTGGGCACACGTGGTCTTGTCCCCCCTGCTTAGTATATATACCTCTTGTAACCCTCGAGGAAGGGGATCCAAATTCATTCTCTCTAAACTCCCTTGTAAAAGTGACCGTGCATTCTCTGTTATAATAGAAATCGGGCTACGGGTGTTCCATCTAAAGTCCTACCGGTCATTCTGAGTATTTTTACTTCCTTTACTTTACTGAACCAAGCCAACTATTCTAGACCCGGTCTAGTATAGTTTGACCGGTCAAGTAATTTACACCATCATAGAGTATTGTAAAACTATTTAAATCTTAGAAATTTCAATGATAATTACTCGAGGCGTGCTACAAGGGAGAGAGTTCGAAGCTTGGTGGCTACGATCAGAGGCAAACATGTAAAGTATTGGCTTCTGTAAGTATCAAACACGAGATCTCACTCTTACACCAACTGATTGAGATTATAGCTTAATTTATCTCTTCTCAGTAAACTATCTAACTAATGCTGAGGGCCCCTCAGGGATGGGGTGTCTTCCTTTTTTTCAATGATAATTAATCCATTCGTTGCAGAGTATTCTTTCATTTTTGACTTGTTGGAGTCAATCAAGATCAATATTTTAACCTATAATGAAATAAAAAAAATACATAATTCAATTATGAGATAAAATATTTTGAAAGTATTTTTCAATATCTAAGATAGATTTTATTTACGGAGTATTAATTAATAGTCAAAATTTATTCATTTTGACCGTAAAAAGTCAAATCTTGTGATTCCTCTATGTATAATGACTCCTACGCATTAGAAAGGAAAATTTCCATGTTTCATGTTCAGGAGTTTTTCTGCTGCAATGAAAAGAGGGGAGGTAGAAGGAGCTTTTATGGAGGTTGATTTGCTGGCCAGAGGCTTCTTGGTAGGCTTTGAGAAAGTTAATTACACTATGGCATCATCAGTGTAGTTTTCATCAAAAAAATACCCATAAGCCGCTGACTAGTAAAAAAATAAACTGTTCACTAAATAAATGTTGTGGACTAAAACTTGGTAAAAGCTAGTAGTGTACTCCGTAATTAACCAGATTTGCGTTCCACGGTCAATAGTTTATCTAAAATATAAAAATAATATTACTCGAGTACAACATAATAATATTGAAATTTAGAATTTGAATATAAACAATACTTCATTATATATTTATTACTCACTCATCCCCGTTAAAGCTGTCCACTGCAGTTTACGATATTTGACTGATATTAATACATTTTATTTGAAACTCAATCAAAAAGTAAAAAATATATTTATATTTTAAATAAAAATGGTTAAAAATTTGACTAGAGAGATAATAAACATAAATCTTAATTACGAAAGTAATAAATAAAACACCCTAAAAACAAATACAGTACTACGTATAATCTTTTCACAATACAAAATAAAAGACAGACATTGATTTTTTAAAAACTATAATTGACAAACACAAAATTTATTTAAAACTTACAAAGAATTATATCCAAAGCAACATGTTAGGTGCCACCAATCCTATCGAAGTCAAGTCACAATCTCAATGGAAGCAAAGAGATGACAGGCGCGCGCAATCAAAATGGGTGTCGAAGTACCTCTTTGCATGTTTACCTGAGGAGGAAATTGCAAGTTTGTTCCTCACATGACATCTCCAAGCAGGCAATTGATCATGCAAGGGAACCTGGAATGATTTTTTGAATAACAACCTCAATGGAGGCAAAGAGATGACACGCATAATCAATCAAAATGGATGCCAAAGTACCTCCTTGCGAGTTTACCAAAGGAAGAAATTGCGAGTTGTTACTGGGGATGACATTTGTAAACTCACAATTTATTCTTTGATAAACTCGCAAAGAAGTATTTTGGCATTCATTTTGATTGATTATACGCATCATCTCTTTACCTCCATTGAAGTTGTGACTTGACTCTATTGGTTCAAATCTAAACTCAAGTTATTCACGAACTCATTCCATGACTCCGTTACATGATCAATTGTCTGGTTGTAAATGTCATCTAGGCAACCAACTTGCAATTTCTTCTTCTGTTAAAGTCGCAAAGAGGTTCTACGACATCCATTTTAATTGGTCACACCTGTCATATCTTGGCTTTCATTGAGGTTGTGACTTGACTCCATTGATTTCATGTCCAGACTCAAGTTATTCGAGAAATCCTTTTGAAGTTGCTGAGCATGATCAATTGTTTGCTTACCAATGTAATCTAGGGAACTAACAAAAGCAATTACCTTCTTATTGCCTTCAAGAATCTGTCCCCTTTCATCTGCATAAATGAGATAAGTGGCATTAATGTTTGGTGGAGTTGAGATTACATTCCATATCTGCCACTATGACAATGTGGTTTTCATTTTCTTCAACATGATTTTCCACATTGAAATTGATGTCTCGTTTGCATGATTTCAGACCATGTTTTGATGCGTTGTGTGTACCTTTTCTCTTTCTTCCCTCAGCTAAGAAATTAGGAGCTGAGTTTGAGGGTTAAATGCTGAAGGCTCAGGCATATTTCCTGACCTAATAGCCAAACCAGGAGACTGCCCAATCCTATTTTTTCTAGTATATTTCCTCTTTACACCTTCCATTTCAGCACTAGGTCGTGACATCCTTCTAGGTTCATAAATTTTTTTGGCTTTTTTTTCATTTTTCCTTGAAACCATATGCTTTCTCTACTTGTGTTGGGGTGTTGATCCTATTGCTATCTGCAAAGCATTATGTTAGATAAAATGTTAACATAAATGCCAACTACGAGTTGCAAAATACCAGCACAAAATAACAAATTTATCCAGAAGTTTCGTAGCAAAAAGAGGACGGGATATATAAATATATATATCAGTTTCAAATGATTGATTAAGCAAGCAACTTTATATAGGATGAATCACCCCTTTTACTAAAAACGAAAAATTATAAACTAGATTCAAGTTCATGAATGAGAATAATTGTATAAATCAACAATAACCTACCATGAGAACTGTACTTCAATTATCAGAAACAATCAATGTGTTAGCATAATAAGTCAGTGAAACTGGATGACATGGATAGGAAAGGAAATAAAGGCAAGTAAAGCCTATCACCAAGAGCCATTTGATATAAGTTTATGCAGCATTCAAAATTAGCTTCTCTGTTTCCCTGTGGAAAATTCTTACTGCTTTTTAGGCCAAAAGTGTCAACGTTCAAGAAAAGAAATCGGAAAATAGTTGTCATTTTTTTGAAGGAAGCTTGCACTTGTGTGTACATGGATTCCTTTTGTTTTGATGTAAAGAAGGGACTCATTCTCATGTAGAATAACTTATTATTCCCAAAGTTATAATTTCTCTCCCCCACAAAAGTTTCTGACTTTCCTTTTTCATATATCTCAAAACAATTTTTCCACTTTTTCACTATTCCTTTTTAGATTAATGTATGTGGTCCAAAATAATGAAAATACTTCTCTTTTTTAAACAAATGCCAACCACAATTTCCACATTTTTCTTGCTCTCCATGAAGCCAATGTGAGAAAACTGATTTGGGAGGAACTTAATCTCTATGATAGAATTTCTAGATAAAAATATCACGGAGTATGACTTTATGAGCCACAATTTTTTTCTATCATACGGAGTGAGTCATAAACTTGCAAAGAGGTACTTAGGCATAGGTTTAGATTGATTGTACATGTCATCTCCTTGCCTCCATTCAGGTTACAAATGTCATCAATGGTAACAACTCACAATTTCTTCCTCCAGAAAACTCCCAACGAGGTACTTTGGTGTCCAATTTGATTGATTATATGTGGCATCTCTTTGCCTCCATTGAGGTTGTGACTTGGCTATGTTGATTCCATGTCTAGACTTGAGTTATTCAAGAAATCATTCCCAGGTTCCCTAGCATGATCAATGGCTTGTTTGGAAATGTCATCTAGGTGACCAACTTGCAATTTCCTCTGGTAAACTTGCAAAGAGATGACAGGTATAATCTCTTTGCAAGTTTATGACTCACTCTGTATTATAGAATTTTGTGATAAAAATTTCACAGAGCATGATTGATATGAGCCACAATTATTTTCTTAAAAGACATTTTTTACAACCCAAATAGAAATACAAAAACAAAATTACGGCCATACGAGAAGAAGAATCTTTAATTAAATCCAAATAGAAGTGCATAATCAAATAACGGGACGAGGAAAGTATATTTAAACAATGTTACTCGGTATTAGTCCGAAATTAAACACAAAAATACAAGAGACAAGCAACAAGGAATGGAGTATGTATTAGAATACAAATCGGATGGTTCATAGTACTATAATAAACTCTAAGAGATTTGTTGCGCAAAATTTAAACATCGCGTTTGAGTGGCATCTAAGACTCTAAGAGGTCGGGGTTCAATTACGTTCATTTACACCAATTTAGAGGTCAATTAAGCATAATGTTAAAGTTGTTCACATATACACTAAGATTGATGTAGAAAAGATACATGTGATACAAATTAATCATTACGTTGAATGTGTAAATTGATCATTATATCTAACATGTGACTAGTCAAAATGATAACATATGTCATCGTATGGTATGAATAATGATTGATTGTGTAAAAGATATAAGTTTCTAGCCGAACTACTCTCAAATGATTGTAAATCAAGCATGAAAATGTTGAGATATCGGTGGTGTAAACAGTAGCGTATCCAGGATTTGGTTGGAGACCAAAAAGGGAGTTTAGGGGCAACACTAGGAAACAATTAGAAAAAAGCAATCATCTATGACCAAAAATGAAGTTCTTAATTTTGTAACATAAAAGTGCAAAACTAAAAGTGTGCATAAGGTGGATGCAAGTATGCAACATACTCCGTATGGGTGCAAGTATGCAACATACTCCGTATGGCACAAGGTGGAGGATACAAACACCAATCTCAGGCGTTAGGGGAGGAACTAGAGTGGCTCTAGCTAACACATGAGGAACTCTAACTTCACAACCACGGGGTAGTTTGTCGCAATAGAGACAAACTCTTCTAGATGCTACTGCTGAAACTACTCTTCACGGGTTTCATAGAGGCAAAGAGCTATAGCATCATGATCAACATCAAGGATTCGAATTTATGTGTAGACCATTATAAACTTTGGGCAGTCTCTTTTCCTCCATATATTTCACAATCTTCATCTAATGCTAGACGTTGGCTTTGAATTATGATATGGAATAATGGGTGAAATAGGAATAAATAATACACAGATAATGATATGGCAAGAATAATAATGTTTTTAACAACAAAGAGATATGTACGTACTGTACAGTGTGGTTGCCTCCATGAACAGACGATTCATAATACCACAGTTAATGGTAATGCCGCCAAGGTGACTTTCTTAAGTCTTGACCAGACCAGCATGTAGGGAATCCAGCTTTAGGTATCTAATAATGAGAGGAATAGAGTGATATATACCACACTTCCATTTGTAAAGAGTAGAGTCATTTGCATCTAAGTTGACTTGGTGGAGCAAATGTGAAGCAGAATTTTCGATGTATAATGACATCTTTAATGAACTCTCTAGAATATACAGTCTGCTCTAACTGTTATTACAAGATTGTCAGGAGTCTTAATTAATGACACTCAAGAGAATATTATTTTCTCTAAAAATAACCCAACAATTAAAAGAGTTTATTAGAGGTCCTCAATGTACACCAACTAATATATATATATATATATATATATATATATATATATATATATATATATATATAAAGAGGTATACCAAGTATCAAGAGGCTCTGTTTTTATATAAAAGAAAAAAAGAATAACAAATAACTGGGGCTTTATAGGAAATGATAACATTAAAAATCGGTAAAGGTGGACTTACCTATAAAGTATAAATTTTGCAGCAACTGCTTTAATCCAGCCTCTGTCTTTATCGTCATAAGCAAAATTGCTTCCAGAAGCTACCAGGACAAAGCCCTCACTTTTTGCAGGGTCCTTGTCACTTGGATAAGGAGAACACATCAGTGGCTGTACTAGGAGGGATTGAGTCCCCTTGGGAAGCAGCTCCCGAAGTGCAGAATCTGAAATGTAAGACATTCTTTGTAACAGATCCCTTCTTCAGAAAATAAATGTTTGCCTTCAAACAAATGGAGTATGCCAATTAAGGACAAGGGTATACAGTTCCACCTGTCCCCAGCAATTTTTTTGCCCCAAAAAAGAGTCATATTTCATCAAAAGAAACTATTTTTGATGCAGTCTTTCAAAAAAAAATCTAACAAAAGTTTACAAACAAGTTCGACCTGATACATTTACTTAAACTAACAAATAAATTTAGAAAATACAAATTTGCCATCTTTAGACAGATGCAGTGGTATTCTAATGTAATCAACTAGCATAATATTATGGAAATAGCATATAACTAATATAAGTGCAACCATGTTTAAAAAAAATGTAAGTTAGTGACTGTCTCAAAGGAAGGTTGCAAGTCATCACTGCCCTACAGATGCAAATAAAACTGCAAGTCATTATTATGATACCCAATTCATCAATAGAAAGAAAATACTCCGTAGATAAATAAAACTGGCATTATTGGGAATCAAAACGATTAGAAATTTTGAACCTAATCCCATGGTAGTAGGACAGCTCATACCAGTAGTTTGCGGAAAATAAAGTGTATCCTTCAAGCTTATAAGACCAAGTTGCAGAATCTGTTTCTCAACCCAATTACATACATCATCTTTTGATACATCTTGAGGAGTTTTCCAGTAGCCACGCACACACAATGCATCTTGCGCTGAGATAAGCTACAATATAATATAGAGCAAAAAAATGGCTTTAAAAAATAGCAGGACGACCAAGCCCAACACAGAAGAGGATACTGATATTACTAACAGTCTAACACTATACCACAGAAAAGGTGTTTGTATTGCGCAACAGAGTATATGTTCCCCAAGCCAAATCCTCCTTGAGAGGATCTGGAACATTTTGCGAGATGACAAAGATTTGGTTCGCGTCTTCAGGAAGATTCCTTTCATCATGAAGAAGAGCACCCTACAATTAATGGAATAACAGAAGTTCAAATATAATTATTAGCACCAGGCATAGTCTTATAAACTAAGCAAAAGTGGGAAAAAATATATGCTCTGACTTTTATATTATCATAACAAAAATGGTTCTATACTTTTTTAGCAGAAGTGTATATGATTGTTTGATGTCTGTCAGAATATATTTACCTTGCATACTTAAAAAAAAAGGCAAAATATTTTACCTAGTAATAATAGGTTATATGGTTTCAAAGAGCACACTTTGCATAAAAAACTTGGTGATTTAGAAGTAATGGACTCATGGTCTTTCAATAACAACCATCTTCTATTGCACTGATAGCAAGAAAATAAAAGAACTGAAAACTACAAGATCTCAAGAAAAACTGATAATTTAAGAGAATGAAATTAGAAATGGGAAATTACCTTTAGAAATGTCCCAAGGTAGGGGATAACTACAGAAAATGCAGCTAGAGAAAGGCCTAAAACCTCTGTTCTCTACAGAATACAAGAAAATAAAAACCTGAAATTATGAAACTATCCAAAAAGTGATTTTAAAAAAATAAAAAAAACAACAGTATTAATACTATTAAGCCCTTTAAAAACACAATAAGAAATAGCTAGTACCATACTACTATTGTATACAGAGATCAAGCTCACCAGCTGGGCTGCTGTGATGGTGGAAGAATCCGAGCCAATAAAGTGGTTCAACAATAGCAATGAACCAAGTATGTACCCTATATATCTCGGTAAGTACGATTCATCCAGTCCAGGTATTCCTAATTCCAGATTTTAAAAACAATATCAAGGCATTCATATACAATTAGTCAATTATAAACGAACACCGCCCATATATATGAAACTGATACGGAGTGAGACTTGATATGTGCATACCGAGAGTGAAACGAAGAACCGAGAGTTGGAGATGACCCGCCTCGGTTTTGGTGCTTCCAGAATAGTTATCCGTTCGTTTACAGCAAATTTTCAATGCCGATTTTCGGATCCCGGGGCGGAGAGTTTCCGGCGGAGTCTGAGATTTGGTCCGGCTTCTCGAAGGGGGCACTGGAACGAACAGAGCGAGTGAGACGGGAATGCTGCTCATTTTCGCTTGTATCTGCGGAGGAATTGGAGAAGACGGATGCTTTAGTTGATTCTCCTTTGTTCAATACTCCGTACTTTATTAGATAAATGATTTTAAATATGACTAAAACATAAAAAAAGTACTAAGATATAAATTTCATGTTTTTATTTCTTAAATTTGAGTTCACACTATGATGATGTGGCACTGTGCATGCGCACATTACTATACTTTTTGGTAATATACATGATCATGTTTGATAATATAAATGCATTTGAACTCATATTTCGAGAATAAAAACGTGAAAATACTATTTTAGTATATTTTCAATGTTTTACTCGTACTTTTGTCTTTTTCACTATAGAGTATTTCAGACTTTTATATAACAATGGGTTTTCCATATTTATTCTTCGATTATCAAATCTTACACATGTAATCCCTCTTTTATACCGAGTAGCATTTTTCACAAATAATCCTTTTTGACAGAACCTTTTGTCATATTGATGTGAACTTGAAAACTAAAAATATATAATTTGACACCAATATTATATTCAGTAACGTATTTTAATACGGAGTATCAATTAGACACGAACAACACAATAGGTATGTCTGTGAATTTGGATTAAGATTCCATCAAAAAACCATCTCTATAAATTATGGATGTAGTATAAAGCAGCTGGAATTCACAAACAACACATCAAGAGCAGTCCCTAAAATATGTATGACAAGAAAGATATATGATCCTTGTGAAATTACACTTTTAACCTTCAAATTAACACAAACATGATATGACAGAAGATCAAAAAATAATTATTTGTGAAAAGATACTCATCAAAGAAGTACCACCAATATAATATTTAAAAACAAAGATATAAATCAGGAAAACTCTATATTATAGAAGACTTATTATAGAATTTACTCATCAAAGAAATACTACCCTCAAATTCTCTCATACTTTGCCAAATAAGTATTTGGTATTTCACTACATTTAAGTTCAATAATTGTATTTACCTTAAATTAGTTTTATAATATATAATTGTATTATAAAAAAAATTCCGTCACATTTATTTATAAATATAATTTAATCATTCAAAATTTTGAACACAAAATTTCACTACAAAAATCGGGCTGATTTGCCACGGAAACTTTTGTCGCAAATAGCTAGAAAATTCATAGTAATAAGCATTTGCAACGGAAATTCTGTAGTAGTAATTCTGTCACAATGACCTTATTCGCAAACATATAAAAGTTCAAAGAACATTATAAAATCGCACAATTATGAGAGCAACGATGTTTTTGAAATAACTTCTAACTAGTGTCAACCCCGTGCTTCGCACGGGCTCATATACTATCTAAATTTTTGATATTCTATAAATATAATTTTATTTATTTTAAATAAATATTTTTCAACCTAAGATATACGGAGTATATTTTTTAATAAAAAGTATACTTTAAATATTGATGTACATGCACTAAAAATTCTATAACTATTTAATTTAAAAAATATTAAATTAAATACACCATAAAAATGTCAAAAACAATTTAATATATTTGAAGGTGAAAATTTTTTTCATTTTCTGAAAGTGAAATATTTTTTAAATTAATAATAAAGAGTCTTATACATACTCTTTTTTAAAATTTTACAATCAATATGCATATTTAAAATACAGAGTAGATTTTAAAATGTTAAAATATATGTTTATAGAATTGTTAGAAAATGTTAAATTTTATACAAAATATAATCAAAGTAATATTTTTTAATGCTAACAAATAATATTCATTTAATATAATACAATAAAATATAATAAAAGATCCTTTTAAAAAGTAAGCTTAATGGACCAATGAAATACTTCCACCTCATACATTAGTGCACATGTGGATGCACATGTGGCAAGCCACACGTCAACACCACAAATAATACACTCAACTTTACATATACTCCCTCCGTCCCACTGTCTTTGTCCACTTACCTTTTGGCACACCATCCAATGCACTTCTTTAATCTATTTTATCTTGTAATTTGTATATTAAAAAATTATAGAAATTATATATTAATAATTTATATGTTAAGACAAATCAAACAAGATCACACATGACTATATTTAAGCTTACACATTGAGAGAATTTGATGAGTCAAAGTGCTTAGATGAACAGTTCCAAAAGTCAAAAGTGGACAAAGACAGTGGGACGGAGGTAGTATATAGGATATAGGATATGATAGAATATGATAGGACAGGATAAGTTTGTAAACTATAATAGGTAAGAAAGTTTTAAGATAAAAATTGGACGGATTGATGTTTAGTTAAGAGTAACAGAATAAAAAATCATGCATATTCATACCACATTCAAGTATCCACGCCGTAGTAAAAGTAACGTGTAAACTTCAATGATGGTATGCAAACTTTGAACTATGTGTTATTTTACTATTAGGTCACTATGAATGTCATTGCAATTTTATACACACTCTATTTAGAAATTTTATTCTCATTATGCGTTACGAGGCTTGACTAAATTTGTTTTTACTTTAATTTATACAAAATAAGAGGTGACACAGCTATATTTTATTATCACATGAGTGAACAAGAGAGAACATGAGAAAAATAAAAAAAGAGTGGAGTCAAGTTTAAAAATTAGAAAAATTTAAAATTGTACTCCGTATTTAGGTCCAAAGTGACCTAGAAGTAATATGGAAATCAACTTTAGGTAGTCCCTCCGTCCATGAGTATTTGTCCATTTTTGTCTTTTTCGGTCAAAATTGGTAAACTTTGATCTCTAATTAAATAAAAATGATATTCGATATTGATACAAAAAATTTTTTTCTTAGATTTATTATATCCAATATTTTCAAAATATTATTTTATTTTGTTAAAATACAATATATATTTTATTTAATTATTGGTCAAAGGTTGAAAACAATTGACCGAAAAAAGTCAAATATGGACAAATACTCAGGGACGGAGGTAGTACGTACTTCAAGAAAGTTTCTTCAGAGTTTGGCATATTTCAATTGAAAAAAAAGTTTAGCTACCAAAATGATATATTACACAAAGTTCATGTACCATGAGTAAATTAAATTATCCAAAAATAACTTGAAGACTTTGTTTTTAGAGAATTCTCTAGATAAGAATAAAAATTAATTCATCCGCTCCTTCTATCTTTTGTTCTTGTCCCACAAATTATTTCTTTTTTTAATAAAAAATAACTTTTACTTCTAATATTTCTTACCTATCACATCATATTTTTTTATTAATAATATATTTATTGCATTTTACTTTTACTCATGAGATCAAAAATATTTTTGGAAAATCAACAAAAAATATTATTTTTTAAATTTTTCAAAAGTCAATAAGAGAACAACTTTAAGGAACATAGGGAGTATGAGTAGGGTGTTCAAAAATATCCGATCCGAAATATCCGTCCATGATCCGGGCCGATCCGATCCGAAAAATGGATATCCGATCCGATATTTTAGCTTTCGGATATTTTGGATCGGATACCCGAAAAAAATCGGATCGGATATGGATTCAATTTCTGGAATTTTTCGGATAACCGGATATCCGATTTTTTTTTTGCTATATATTTTTGGAATTTTATGGATATATATTATGACTATATGTTTAAATGTAATTTTATGTTGATTTTGAAACACAACCATTTTGGACTTTTTGCATTAGCATTTTAGAATCTTTTGTTTTAATAATGTTTTTTTGTTTGTTTAGGCAAAATTACCAAAGTTACTCCCAAATTAAATTTGGTATCATTTTTTTTAGGGTCATGCTACACTTACACCATAAATTATACTCCATTTGTACACCGCAGTTATACACAAACATTTTGATGGTTTACACCGACACAAGTGTTGGTGCGTTAACAAAAATTTACACGGACACAAAGTGTTGGTGCATTAACAAAAATTAGTTTTAAACCAACACTTTGTGTTGGTGCAAAACTGCGGGGTACAAAGTGGGGTACAAAAGTTGGGGTACAAATAGCTTAATCCTTTTTTTATTAGGCCATTACTTAGTGATGTAATTTTTCTTTTAGTAAATCTATATTGAATTTGATATTTTGGGTTGATTTTGCAATTTTACCTTTTTTTTTTTTGTAAATTTTGGCTAAAAACTCAACTTTTCAGATAATCCAGTGATCTGATCCGAAAAATTGGATATCCAAATTTCGGATATCCGAATATTATCGGATCGGATATGGAATGAGTTTACATGATCCGAAATTTTCGGATATCCGAATTTTCGGATCGGATCGGATCGGATCGATCCGATTGAACACCCCTAATTATGAGACACCAAAATGGAGAGTAATGTGTCTTTCAAGACCAAAATAAAAATTCTCTTTACCACAATTTTTCTTTCAGACTCGCCACATTGCTACACACGTCAACATTGAATGGTGGTCCATCCACCACTATCATTACATTGTCATTTCTTTTTTCATCACATTATCAACATTTTTTGCATCACACTATCATTATATTTTTATTTAGAAGATAAAATAAGGGCGACTCACATTTTGGTTAGTTAAATTTTTTATTTTTATTTACATAGATTTCTTTTTTGGTTATTTACAACAACTAACTAATTCCTGTATAATATTTAACTAATTATTACGATTTTTGTAATTATCAAATTTTGAGCAAATATAAATATACTTAAAAATTAATATGTATATCTATATTCGTTCAACTTTCTTTTTATACATTTTAAAAAGGTACTATTTTATTTTCCATTTTAGTAAAAACACTACTCCCAATATTGTTATCTTATCTAAATAGAAGATCCTAACCACATGATCATGCCTTTTACGGAGTATGATTTTAACATTTTTAAAACTCAGGGAATGTCAACCAATAAAGCATTTTATGAGAGTCTTTAAAAATTTTATTATAACAATCTCAGTGTTTAACTTTAATATTTTGAAAAACTTATCTAATAACTTCATTTAATGATAGCATTTCAAACTTAATAAACTCTTAAAAAATTCAAAAAACTAATGTTTTTTAAGATAAAATGCTAAGGTTAACCTAAGCCATTAGGGAGGAGTATTAATTATATGAATGTGAATACAAAAGAGATAATGCATCTCCTAGAAGGTTGGTTAAAATAATGACAAAAAATTACCCGTAACAATTCATTCCCACGTAAGAACAAAAACTAAAATACAGGCAACCAAATACGGAATGCGTACAAAAATACGTATATGAGAAAAGGAGCGGCCACGTGGCATTCCACTTCACGATCCAACGGTGATGCGGGCAGATCGAAGTCCCCCAAGTCATCTCAGCCGTAGATCTCACTCCCATACGGAGACCGACCCCGTCAGCGTTTCTCTCTCTATCCGACGTCAAGCCAATCAATCTTCGCCACGTGTCCGTTAAACCCGACGACATCGGGTCGCCACCACCCGCAGTTTACCGCCGTCTACGTAGCCCTATCGCGTGGTTGAAACGTGTCCGTATAAAGACCGGCTATCACCGGTCCTGTAGGGTTTAGCCCCGGCTGCAGCCGGTCACTCCCCTCCAATTTCCGCGCTGTATAAAAGTCGGCGAACGGAGAGCTACCGTCCGTTTCTCCGATTATTGCTCCTTCGAAGTCACTCTCTTTTTTTCGCCTCGCCCGTTTCCTGGTCCCGAGGTTTGTAGCCCGCCTTCTTCTTCTTCTTCTTCTTTCTTTTTTTCTTTGTAATTAATTAATTAATTATTCTACTGTACTTTTCTTTCTTCTTTTCTTTCTCTCTATTTTATTATAGGAATATTACTTTCTTTTCTGAAATTCTCGTCAAATATTGAGCTGTAAAGTTGGGTTTTTTTCTCCTTCTTTATGAAAATTTATCCGTCTATGGTTCCTGGGCTCGAACTTTCCGATTCATTTCAGGCACTTGGGAGATAAGCTAGTAAGAATTTGAATTCTATTTTGTTTTTTTTCAATGTTCTGCTAGAGCTCAATTTCTGATTTGGTGGCGAATCAGTTAAGTTTTCTAGTTGAATGGTTCCAATTTGGGGGTTGAAAAAGCTGGTTTGCTTGGGTTGGAGTTATTTTTCTTTAAAAGTTCTTGTATTAATTGGTTTGGGGATTTTAATTGGCGAGGGCTTGTCATGAATCAGTAAAAAGCTCGCTTTTTTGTCAATTTGTAAGGAACAAATTAGGGCTTTTTCGCTGAAATTAAGGGGCGTTTACTTTTTTTTGGATGTTTGAGGTGTTCGGAGCAGTTTAATGTTTTCCTGACCCATATTATGCTTTTATGTGTGTTTTTGGTTGTTTGTCTTCAATATTGGAGATTCTGGGTGTGGTCTGGTCCATTATCCTCGTGTTTCTATTTTTGTTTATCTTGGCTCATCATTAAAGCATGATTTTTATACCCTGCATTCGCCAGTTGGCTTGGCATATTATAGATGAGCTAATCAGAAGCTGATGATTTTTTGCTTTTTTTTTGGCTTGGGAGATTGGAATAACTGACAAACTGTTGTTTATAGAAAAATTTGTATTTTCCAGAGCTGGCGCTGGAGAGCTATTTGGATCATCCAGCCCATCAAGGGAATGCCCCATCAATGGTGCATCCTCGGATGGCACAATCTCCTTCATCATCCGGCATCTTTTTCCAAGGAGACGGTGGTCAGTCACACGGAGTTGGGAATCCCCACTTATCCTCTTCATTTTCAAACTCATCAAATTTAGTACACGGGAGTGCAGGACGGTCAAACCTTGGTCATGTGTCTGGAGACGCCGTTTTGAACAGTGTGGCAAGCTCCGGTCCTAGTGTTGGGGCAAGTTCTTTAGTCACTGACGCAAACTCACCACTTTCTGCCGGTCCCAATATTCAGAGAAGTGATTCTTATATGCGTTTGCCCGCGTCCCCCATGTCTTTCACATCGAATAATAACATCAGTATCTCTGGATCATCCATCATTGATGGATCAAATCAAGACCCAATAAACTCTCAGCAAAATCACCGAGGAGGATCTAGTGCCACGTCGTCCTTGCCCACTTCAAGGATAGGTCAGGTGCAACTGCCCAACGGGGCAGGATTGAGAGGCAACGGTTCTTTCATTCAAGATCCTACAATCTCCCAGCTGCAAAAGAGACAGCGGATGGAGATGAAGCAGGAAGACATTCTGCAGCAACAAGTTCTGCAACAGTTACTGCAACAAAGGCAAGATCAGATGCACCTTCAGAACCCCAACCCACAATTTCAGGCATTGATTCAACAGCACAGGCTAAGGCAACAGCAGCAACAAATTTTGCAGTCTATGCCAGTGGCACAGCGAAACCAGCTGATACAGCAGCAACAACACCAGTTGCAGTTGAGACAACAACTTCAACAAGGAATGCAGACTGGTTCTGCTGCTGTGAAACGGCCCTATGATTCCGGGGTTTGCTCTAGGAGGCTAATGAAATACTTGTATCATCAGCGCCAAAGGCCTCCCGTAAGTATAAATTTTTAACCCCCTCATTCCCGCCTCCAAGGTTCTTGCTCTGAATGTTCATCTTATGGCTTGTTTGGTACTAAGGATTAAGGCTTCCCTTCTGATTTTGAAGACAAATTCTCCCATGTTTGGCACTGTCTTCATTTTTTTCTTTGAAAATCCCCCCCCCCTCAAAACTCAAAAGTGATGAATAACTCTTTCCCGGGTACCGAAGGTTTGGTTTCTCTAGGCTAAGAACGAAGAGAAAGGATATTGATTTTGACAAAAATGTCTTGAACATAACACTCCACCTGTCCCATATCATCTTATCACTTTAACCTGACACTCTCATTTAGAAAATTTAGTTGTGGCTAAGGTTAACACACAATGTCAACCACAAAATCTCTTAAATAAGTAATCCCTTAGAAATTTTTGGGACAACTCAAAAAGGAAAGCATGAAGAAATCTGTTTTAAAGGAATGTCCCCTACAAAAGAGCATTTTGGGCTTTATGTATGTTATTATCATTTTATTCCACAGTAAACTAAACAGTCGAAAGAGTATTCCTAGTGATTCCATTCTCGTCAACCAAATAACAGTGGGATTTAAAATTCTATGTTATGTCTAACATATTGCTCTCTTATCTCATTCTTTCTTTGTTTTTTCTTTAGGAAAATTCCATTGCCTACTGGAGGAAATTTGTGGCTGAGTATTACTCTCCACGTGCAAAGAAAAGGTGGTGCTTGTCAATGTATGATAATGTTGGTCATCAATCGTTAGGGGTCTTTCCTCAGGCAGCTATGGTACTTGCTCTAAACTTTAATATCTTTCTTTGGCTGCTGATATTTCGGTCTTCTTTGGAATGAGAGCTTATGTGTTATACATTTTTCTTCCCAGGATGCCTGGCAGTGTGAGATTTGCAATTCCAAATCTGGAAGAGGATTTGGTAAGTTAGTGAAGAAGTTCTTACCATATGTATCTTTGGTTTGTAATTTATTACATGGCTCTGATTTTGTATAATCTGCCTTCTATTTAATATACTTTTACTACAGAATATAAATTGGCATAAGACATTGGCAATACTTATAAAAAATGGGCCTATCAGTTACACTGAGACTGAGACGTGTTGAGATACACCTTACATCTTGCCTCTTTGCGTCCCTTTTATCTATACATTAAAGAGTTGTTTTAAAACTCGTACCGGACTGGCCAGTTGGGTTGAGCTGGGATCACATATCACCCGGTCCGAGTATGACATTGGATCAGCCATGTCATTAGCCCATTTCAGGCTCCAATGACCCGGTCAAGTTACCAGCTCCACTGGTGGACCATTTCATATGTTGTTATAGCTGCCCTCATCTCTCCCTGGTGCACTCACCTTACAAAGCTAAGAAGGCAGCTATAACAACAACAAAGTCAGTAGAATCCCACAAAAAGTTGGGTCTTGGGAGGGTGTGTGTATGCACTATGCAGCTATGTACATTTTATACTTTTAGACAGCATATAGGTGATATAGCTTCTATCTATCATACAATTAAGCTCTGTGGTTGGTTTTGAATTATTAATGTACACTATTGTCCACACAAACACACACACACACAAATATTAGATTTCTTTGATATTGGTTGGATTGTTGACTTCATCTCTAGTTTTATAAATAAACTCATTTTTGAGTTTCACCTCTATTCCACTTTCGTATATTGGTTTCTTATCGCTCCTGAACTAAGATCAGCACTATTTTTCTATTTGATATACCTACCCTTTTAGGAAATATGACTCTGTTGGCCCAATAATCTTGTACTTTTACAATCTGTTGCCTGGAATGATATTTAGCGTTTATCTTGTAATAAGAAGACAAAATTAGCATGAACGCTACGTTCTTATTACATTATTAGAATATAAGCACGCCATCTATTCTACCTGCTATCCTTTTTCATTCGTCCCAAAACTATTTTTTTTCTTTTTTTTATGGGAAGTAGTGTGGTTCATATTGTTTCTCTGTCTGCATAAACCCCAGTTTTCACATTCTTAGTATCGTGCTCTTTTGTTCTTCAATTCCTCTATAAAGAGTTTAACCACTTGGAAGTTCAGTTTGAGTACTCATCAAATTCTGTAACAATTGGAAACAATAGTAACATTAATGATATTATATGACATATTCCTGAGAACATCATTATAATTGCTTGTTGCTGGGTAATTTACAATTATAATACGGATTAATTTTTTGGACACAAATTTTGAAAAGGATAGAATTGTAAAGTAACATGATTAGTTTTTTTAATGCATTGTAAAGTAAACAATGTTTTTGTTTTAACTTATTGTAACATCTGTTTCATTTTTGTATGGTGGGTTCAATCAGAGGCAACATTTGAAGTTCTTCCTAGACTAAATGAAATTAAATTTAGCAGTGGCGTTATTGATGAGCTTTTGTTCCTGGACATGCCTCACGAATATCGGTTTCCAACCGGGATAATGTTGTTAGAGTATGCAAAGGCAGTTCAGGAAAGTGTTTATGACCAACTCCGTGTTGTTAGGGAGGGTCAGCTTCGCATAATTTTCACCCCTGATTTAAAGGTAAAAAAGATAGCGTTTCCCTTCTATTTGATCTTTAACTTATATTGTACTAAATACATGCACCGTTTTCCTACATTTTAGATATTATCCTGGGAGTTTTGTGCGCGGCGCCATGAAGAACTTTTACCCAGGAGATTAGTTGCGCCACAGGTAAATAGGTTTGAGGTTTATCTTTTGTTGTTCAAGTGAAAAATTGATTTCATACTTGTTTTTTTTAAATTAATACTCCCAACAGGAAAATTGGCATTCTAATTTTACACAAGTAGTATTTTATTATGCCTCACAAGTGAAGATTTCCGTACATGATGAATATGTACAACATGTACACTATCTATTGGGGGTGAAGAATGAAGAGAAGATAATAAATTGGAATAAAAAATCAAGGTCTCAGAAAACAACCGTAATAGAAAATACCACTTATCCTTTTAATGGTGCCCTAAATTAAGGACCAGATGGCATTTTATAAAAAGAATTCGCCCAGTCCAGATTGACAGGCCAACAAAATTGGGTTTTTTACCACTGGCATTTCACTATTGCTCTGCTATTTCAAACAATAATTCTATTACTAGTTATTTTTTTCAATTTTTTATTAATTGTTTTGCCTCCCTTCCTCCAAGTAGGGGTAAGGTTTGCATACATACACCATCTTCAAGCCCTACTTTTGGTGGGTTTATGGTATTATAACTGCTTTGAATCTCTTAGCTGGCTTAGGCATGTACATGTAGATTAAAAAATTGAAGTATTGAACGGTATTGGAGATGTAAGGCATTTGGCCTATCATTTTGTTATTTGACATTGAAACAAAATTTGTATATTTATTTTGATGTTTTGGCCATTGGCGTTGCAGGTGAACCAATTGCTTCAAGTTGCACAAAAATGCCAGACCACAATATCAGAAAGTGGACCCGATGGGGTTTCTCAGCAGGACTTGCAAGCAAACAGCAATTTGTAAGTGATAATTCAAGTGTTGGTGCAATGCAAATCACTTTTTTGGCATCCTTTTTCGCTTATCAGCAAGTTTTTCACCAACGGCTAACTTAGATTAACTCTGAAGGAAAAAAAAAGTATGGTCCATATTACTTCTTTCATATCTAGATAAAATTCAACTATGCAATATCGTTCTCTTAAAATCCGTGCAAAATGCAAATGAGAGTGTAGATGGGAACTGAGGGAGTATTACCATAATAGGTCTTACGAAACAGGATCATAGTTGGGTGTTTAAAGGGTACTTGTACTTCCACTAACTAACCCTAGTGGCATTTACTGTTGTCCAGGGTTGTAACGGCTGGACGCCAGCTTGCCAGGAGTATGGAGTTGCAATCAATAAATGATTTGGGATTTTCCAAAAGATATGTGAGGTGCTTACAGGTATGTGACATAAATTTACCTTCTTTCTCCATCCGTCCCATTATAATTTATCTACTTTTTCTCTTTCCTTTTTGAAAAGAGTATTTCGTCTTATCTTATCTCCTCTTCTAAACAAAACTCTAACTGCTCAGTTTTCAACATCTTGCCAACAATTTGGTTAATCTCCGTAGTTTTCAACATCTTGCCAACAATTTGGTTAATCTCCGTAAAATCAAAATGGGCAAATTATTATGGGACGCATGAAGAACAAGTGATAATTCACCACATCTGCCGTATTAATCTTTTGGTTTCGTGATATTCCTTGTGCCTCTGATGTATTATTCCCAGATAGCTGAAGTTGTAAATAGCATGAAAGACTTGATGGACTTCTGCAGGGATCAGAAAGCAGGGCCTCTTGGTAATGAATTTTTTTTGTTTATTTCCTTTCTATTTTCTTCCCCTATAACTCCCGCGACACGCAAATAACATGTATTTTGTTCGACTACTATAGAGAGCTTGAAGAATTTCCCACGACACGCAACTGCAGCTAAGCTTCAGATGCAAAAGGCGCATGAAGCGGAGCAGATGGGGCCCAATGATCGCAACAAGCTGATAATGGAAATGCAACCGGGCGCGGTACATAACGGTCAAATGGGCAATACCAACAAACAAATGGTTAACCGCGGAGGAGTAGACTCAAGCGGGGGTGGCCCTTCAGCAGCACAAGCACCCAATAACAACAATAATCATAACCATTACCAGAATATGTTGGTACGTCAGAACTCAATGAGTACTAACAACGCTACCAATTCTGCAGTCAAACAGGAACAATCTTCTTTGCTCAACCAAACGCCGTTTCAAGGACAACCAAACGGCGTCTTTCTGACATCCACCAATATCCAACAACAGCAACAACAACAACCTCAGCAGCAGCAGCAGCAGCAACGTTTGATGAATCAGCAGCAGCACACAAACAACCAGGTTGTACAACAGCAAATCCTCCAGCAGTTGCTGCAAGATATTAACAGCAGTGGAAACGTGGAGGGACCCGTATCTGCGCTCAGGAACAACAGTTTCAAAGCAGCAGCAGCTTCCAACAGCGAGTCGTCAGCCACCCCCAACAATGGGTTCCCTCAGAGCATGGGACACAACAATCTTCACATGTCTGAGGATATGTTGCCTGACATATCATCGGATTTCACAGATAGCTCGTTTTTCAACAGCGATCTTGACAACAATATGAACTATGGATGGAAAGCGTGACCGCTAGCTAACATTTGGCCTTAGATGAGAACTACTTTGGCATACATATTTGTACAGCTTGCTTTAAACATTACACTTCCCTTCTCTCTCTCTCCCTCTCCTGCCTGTTTTAGTATGTTCTGTGGAGAGTAGCTGTGTGTACCCTGCTAGGTGTGCTTTTTTTCTTTTTTTTTAAATCTCATTTTATTGAATTTTCTCTCTTGCAAGTGTAATCTACGGAGATATGAACTCATCAACTTTAATTTGGTATTAACAGAGAGATTGTTCACTTCTGTTCATTATTACATGCCTATGGTGAGGGTATTTTGGGAAGCTTGATCTCAATAATTAGAACTATTTCTTTAAAACAAATGGAACATCCTTGGAGATGTTTTCCTTACAAAAAGGATTAAAATGATAGGCATAACAAGTGTGTTTTTGTTGGTTACACAATATTTGCGTATATGTACAAAGAAAAGGCATCTATTCAACCAAAGCAAAAGAAGAAGCTAAACTGAGCACAACATTACAAATCCCAGTTTCGACAAGTGCCAAATGTACTCAGGTGTCGCGCACCTCTTCCTTACAAACAGGGCAAGTCTGCAAACCAAAGGAGCAAAAACACAATTGACTGATCTGTGTTTCTTTTTAAACAAAAACTCGGTTTGTATGTGGTACCATTATGATAATACTGCTAGATTTTGTTACCTTATTTTCTCTCAGCCAGGGCACTATGCACTTAAAATGGAACGTGTGGGCGCAGAGTAAACTTGTCACCTTCTCCCTATTCGCGTACTCCGAGCAGCATATTACACACCTGTCCCACGCAGACACAATGTGAGCCAGGAAAAGACAACATGAGAAGAGAGAGAGAGAAAAACAGACATACCCATCGTCACTTTTCTTTTTCCAGAAGAAGAAGCCGCAGTTGTATCTGAATGTTGGCAAGCGAGAAATCATATCGTCCGACAGCCCTCTGCTCTCATGCCCAATTGCATCTCCCAACGACTGCAATTCCTGAGAAAAAGTTTGACCTTTTGGTTGACTTGGTTCACTAACAAAGTTTCTCTACTTACTGAGAGGAATATACTAGGCACATGTTTGGTTTGAGGAAAATAAAAGAGCAGTAGAAAGAACAGAGCTACAAAAACCAACCTCGTAGCTCATGTTGTCTGGGTTAATGCCATTGGTGGCATTCGAAATTTCAACCTGCAACGAGACATGGGAAACCTAATGAGAAGTGACCCTAGAATGTATATAAAAACCAGTGTCCAATGCTAAGCCAACTAACGTCGTGGCTCATGTTGCCAGCAATGACATTATGTCCGGCTGTCTCCAAGGTCCCAATCTGCAAAAAGATGGAAAAAACGGTAACCCACAAGCGTATGAAGTTGTGAAGTAAAAATACCACATTGGAAGAGATCATGCAATACCACCCTAGCAGGAGCAGGGGGAGGAGGACGATGAGGAGGAGGCTCTCTTGGTGGAGGACGATGATGAGGAGGAGGAGGAGGAGGCTCTCTTGGTGGAGGATGATGATGAGGAGGAGGCTCTCTTGGTGGAGGGGATTCGGCTGCTAAGTTGTAGATATCATCAAAGCCATCATCCATTTGTAATGATCTAGCTAAAGCCTCATCAAGAGCCAATTGTGATGCAACATCTAAACCAGATGAAGAACGGACCGATCCTGGTAAAGAATTGCTTTGACTAGTCTCACCATTTCGGGTGTTCCCTTTCTTTTGGAATGCCAAGTAGAGGCTTTCCTGTTGCACATCAGTAAAAACTATGAGAAAGTTTTAAATTTATATGTGAGACTGCATCTGTCAAATGTGAACGAATGAATGAATGAACCCCTTAACCGTTGAACAATATAAAGGTTCTATTGGGACCGAGCTAAACCCGATACGGATTCTTAACATCAAATAAGCTCAACAACTTACCAAAGCTGAACTATGAGCACGGACCCTTAATATGGTCGAAATAATAATTTAAAGTTTTCTACTTCATATTTGGGGTAAGGTCTGCGTACACACACCATCCCAGAACATACTTTTGTGGGATTTTACTGGGTTTGTTGCTGTTGTATATTTGTTTAAAGTTTTTTTCTTTAGAGGGTAAAAAAACACCTGTTGTATGCGAATTTCCTCATAACTTAAACCACCATCCTCAGGGAAGCATTTTATCAAGTCCTCTGTAAATTCAGGTGGTAAAACGCTGCCGCTCAAGTGATGTTCTTGAAACTCTTGGGAACTCATACCTTTCTCTCTTCAACAACAAAAGCTGTGTTCATAAACTTGACCTGAACACAAAAGCTCAAGCTTTGTTTTAAAGCTTCACCTTTTATGCATGTAATGAAAGAGAATTGTTCAGCATGGAGTAAAGATCCTTACTATTAATGCTGGTGTGCAATCAGATTATGCATTAACCACACATTCAGGAGATTAACTAATTGTATTTCATACCATTATAGTCATAATTTCTAGAAAATTTCATATGATGAAGATATTAAAGCAAATATTTCTAATACTTTACGTCCATAATGTATACATAGTACTTATAAAACAATCTCCTGCTAATCTTTCAATACCATCACTAAATTCAGAGACCAAGTAGCAAACTAGAAAGTGTGAAACGGAACAAACCCCAAATTGCGATTTAATTGCATTTTTGTGACAAGCCATGATGAGGAAGAGAACACACTCAAGAGTCATCAGAAAAGCAAACAAAAGTTCCAAAGAATATCAATCAACCAGAGGGCTAATCAAAGTGGAGGTTGGATCCAGGCTTATATGCCTTATTACCCTGGCCCTCACCTGGCCCGACCCTCCCATTGATGAAGGGTAGTCAGTCCTCACATAGGCCTTGTGGGTTCCCGGAGGCTTGAGTGCCTGACCTACCCTAATCTTATATCATTCAAACAAGGCAAACCTACCCTGTATATTTAGTATATACCCTTTTCACTATGTGAAACTAAATGAGATGAACAACATATTCGTTTCACAGAATGAATTGAACTTCAACCAATCTCTAGCTACTAAATGAGTTGAACATAGTTACACTCATTTCGTTTATCAACTCATATGAGTGTAACTATGTGAAACAAAACTCTGTACCTTAGTTTTACCACATACAAAGTCTCTGAATGAGTTGAACTGTGTTCAATGAGCGGTAGCCCGTCTTCGAGTGACTACGTACCTCTGCGCAAGCGCCGAGACTTCGTTCCTTGAAGAGGAAATGAGTGCAATTATGTTCAGTTGAACATACTCAAGCAGTGTACTATGAAATTTCCTTCTAGAAAAAACTATGAATTTGTAATTGAGCTTTGTTGGGAACTAACACTATGTTTGGTTCAAGGAATTTGGAAGGAAAAGAAAAGAAAATGATTTTCTCTCATTTTCCTCGCCAAAATGGGAGGAATTTGATTTTCCCTTCCCTTACACTATGTTTGGTTCAAGGAATTAGAAAATGAAAAGAAAAGAAAATGAATTGGAAAACAGTTTTTCGTGTTTGGTTGGAGAGGAAAAGTAGAAGAAAAAGAAAATGAGAAGACAAATGTACTAACCGGAGGGAAAACCAAAATCCTCCCATTTTAGTGAGGAAAATGAGAGAAAATCATTTTCTTTTCTTTTCCTTCCAAAATCCTTGAACCAAACATAGTCTTAATATATTTTGTGTTCTCATTTCCTTTTCCTTACACTTTTCTTTTCTTTTCCTCTCTATCCAAACAAGAAATGCTATTTTCCATCTCATTTTCTTTTCTTTTCCATTTCAAATTCCTTGAACCAAACATAGTGTAAAGGAATTTTGTCCAAATCCAAATTCCTTGGACTCCAAAACATGTAATTTGGGTTTTAAAATCCAAATCTAAGTTCCGAAACAATTTGCAAGTGACTTCAGTTCCCTAACACGACATAAATGAATTTCCTTCCTCAAAGTACTATGAATTCACCGTTCCTACTTCCTAAAACCAGAAAAGTTCAATAATCACATGAGATTTCTTAAGAAAACAATTAGTTAGTTCAGCTTACAGGATTACCAAACCATTAAAACAAATTAAGCAACCAAGACACAAATAAAACGCACTAACTAGTCAAGAATTCAGCAAGACATAATTGCAGAAAATTAAAAACAAGTTCTTGACAATTAACCTTTTTTCCTCTCAAGAAACGGCAAACATTATAAAAGATTGAGAAAATTTAGATAAAGATTGCACCTTTAAGTCAAAATAAGTTGATGGGCACTTGACCCACACTTAAGCTTTCCTTCTATCCGACATGGGACAGAGAAAAAGGACAGAGAGAGAGTGACTGAGATTGAAAGAGTGAACAGTTTCCTGTTATGCAACTGGGAAGGTGGTGGGAAAAGGAGGAGGAGACGATTGGAATGGGGAGAAGAAAAAAATGGGATCTGTTGAAAAAAAAGAATTTGTTTTTCTTTGAGTGAGAGAGAGAGAGTGTGTGTGTGAGGAGAGCCAAACACTCCATAGACAGCCATGCTTTTGTATACACCACAATAATGGTAAAATTATCTTTGTGTTTTGGATTTTCACCATTTTGTGAATAAAACAAGCCCTTCTTTACTCACTGGGTCAGATATATCACCTAACCTGTTTAGCTTTGATCTGTATGGAAAAAAAAAACTAAGAATGTCAGGAATAGTATCATTATCTTGGTGTATCTGTGGCATCAACTTCAATGTTTTGAGTTTATCGAAGGTTTTTACATCCTAGGCAAACTATGAGTTCTCCGTTGAACCAAAAAAAAAAAAAAAGAGTTCTCCGTTAAAAAAATTAAAATCTTTTTTCACTTTATCTACCAAATGTGTACTGCAAATGTACACCACCCCTCTATCTACCATTCATTTTATTTTGTTTTTTTTTATTTTTAAAAAAAATTTTCTTGCCTTTTTTTGTGGTGATGGAGAGGGTGGGAATATTGGGGTACACTTTTGTATACCCCTATAAAATGACTTCTCACATGGTTTGTTACTCGTCTCAAAATCTTGTAATGTTATTGCCTGAAGATTCGCTTTTCCATTTTTTAATTTTATTTATCATTTTCTAATTCAAAATTTATATAAATTTAATAAAGTTTTATTTTAAGAAAAAAGTAGAACAATTTTTTTTAAAAAAAAGGATTCTAACAATTAAAAAAAACTAATACTCTCTGTCCCAAAATTTAAGCAACAATTACTTTTTTAGTCTCCCGATAACTTTGTTTGTTTACTCATTTTGGTTGACTATTTGATAAAATAAAATATATTTATTTCATCTTGTTTTGTACTCCGTAGAACTTTTGATCTATTTTTGAACGGTGTAATTTTTACTTTTTATTTCTGTACAAATTTGTAAGTAAAATAATTTTAAAAGAGATTATATTTTGCACATCGTTTAAAATATTGTTTACATTTTGGGACGAAGTGAGTATAACACTAAATTATGCAATACTACATAAATAAAAAAATTAATATGCTTAAAATTAGAAAAAATGAAAATATAGAATTTTTTTTTGAGTGAGATGAGAGTTAATTGATGAGGATGAGAGTGATGAACTAAAGTTGAAGATATGTTAAATTTATATAGTTGAAAATCAAAAAAATTAAAAAAATGAGAGGGGGGGTCGATCAGCGCGGTGGGCCATCACAATGGACGGCTGCCGCAATTTTGCGTCGGAAACTTAGCGTGGCTTTGCGCCGGAAGTGGGGTGTGCGCAATGGTGGAAATCGCGGCTATCCTTCTGCAATGGTTGTGCGGCGCAGTGCTGCTTGGGGACTAATTTGTATTTTCATTGATTATTTGATAAAATAAAATATTTTTGTCGACATTTATTTTCTAGAATTTTGATTTGTTTTTAAATATGTAAGTTTTATTTTTATTTATATACCAATCTTTAAATAAAATGAATTGAAAAAATACTTAATATTTTATTTCATTTTGTGTAAAGTGAAGATAATTATTAGATGGATGAGTATAAATTACACCATAAAAAAGTTATACAAAAACTTTTACAAAATAAGACGTAACAAGAATATTTTATTTTATCAAATGATCAACGAAAATGTGTGAACAAACCAAAGATATCAAAGAGTCTAATTAAGGTCATGTTCTCTTCCACTTATTTTTTGTACTTATTCTTATTGGAATCAGATTAAATCAAATATAACTTTAAATATAACTACATTCAAATCAGATAAAACCAGATTAGACCAAATCAGAATCAATCAGATCAGGTAAAGAAAACAAGGCCTAAGACATAAATTTTGAGACCAAAGGAATACCAGAATAACCAAATTTTTGGTTTGATGAAAATTGGGAATTCTAGCTTAAAAATAAATACCTAAGACCTTTTTTTTTTCTTAAAAGCAAATTTTAAGTGAATTTATAAATAGTTAAGCACATAAAAATATATTATCAGCTGACATATAAGTTAAAAACTGCTTATGAGAAGTTTTGATTAGCTTATAAGTACAAAAAAACACTCACTATATTATTTTGTCAAATAGCTAAAAAAATAAGAAAAGAAAATGAATAAAACTTGAACCCAAGAATAGGAAACATACAATTTAATTACGATCAAACATCATTCATTTTTTTATTTTTTTAGTTATTTGATAAAATAATATAATTATATCACCACTTGTGTTTTTAGATCATTTTAGATGATTTTTAAATATGCAATTTTTGTCTTTCAATTCTACTCCATTTTTTATAAAAAATGATTTGAAAATAACTTCAATCAAACATCATAAATCAAAACAGTCAATTTAAATTAGAACGGGAGAGTACAAGATAGAAATTGACATTTCTTTTATCAAACACGGAGTATACTTCAAAAATAGAGGTAAGAAAAAGTAAAATAAAGTTCAAAAATAGAGGTAAGAAAAATTTTAGAACGGGAGAAATGCATAACCCAAACGACCCTCGATAACTGTTCCTTTTTTCAGATTTTCAACAGCACATTTGCACAGAAACACAGCAGTCAATACTCAATACAGTCTTTTAAATCCATCAAATGAGAGTGAAAATAGGTTGCAACAAACTTCCAAGTAACAATCTCTCAATATCATATACGTCTGGTCTAGTTTAGTACATGGTGCATCATCATTATGCAAGATCCTCCCCAACAATTACTTTAATCTCCTCCGACTTGCCTTTTCCAAGAGTCCTCGACTATGAGTTCGTCAACCGGCCAATCTTCATAGCTGTAAATTGGAGAATATACAAAAAAATTAAATTCCATCAACGCAACCTACAACATACTCTTGTGTGTGTGTGTGTGTGAAGGGCGGAAATGGTAAGAAAATGGAATTAGAATACTCCTTGGGGATTGAAAAGGTGTGTTAAGAAGGAAGTCCCTAGCTAGGGGTAGAGGGTTTTGTATGATTTGGATGCTTAGAAGTATTAGGGACTACTGACCTTTCATCAGGCAGGTACCTGCGAATTGTGAAGGGAATCTTCCTTTCACGTAGCTCTTTCATCGCAATCTAGAGGATGAAAATAGAATAACTAAATAAGCATGAACTAGGTACAAACCCAACCATTTAACAATCATTTTTTCAGAGTTCATGTTGACATCCAATCAGTGGTAAGCTGCATTACTTCAGCTAAGTGTTTCCTTACTAAAACAAGGATAAACACATTAATAAGAACTACTCTGTATAATATATCCACCTTCAAAACTTGGTGTTAGCTGCTACCAGTTTGATGTGCTGATTAAAAAGGTTATTAACTTTCAATTGCAATGATTCATTTGGGTATGTCTAAGCAATTAAACAAATGATCCATATCTGCTCATTTCCTAAACACTGTTAGTTGATCACATGACATGAAGTAGTGTGAGCCATTAGCAAAGACACATTCTGAATATATCCAAACAAAACCAAATTGGGTTTGTCCTAAATTGATAGAGAGCAAAAAAAGGTTAGGTAGTTTTTTAGCTCTTCAAATAATCTAATCCAATACTGAAGTAGTTGTTGAAGTCTACAAAATGGGAGGCTATGCCACATAAATCAAATCTTGATGGGAAATAACGAAAAAACTTCAATAGAATATCTTGAAAAAAGATCATGGAAAAAGTAAAAAGTGGCATACTTATGAAAACAGGGGGGCATATTGAAGACAATTACCTCAAGTGGATCACTTTCGCCCTCCAAATCAACCATCACAGGAGCATTCATGCTGATCTGAAGAGCACGAGTACCCAGAATTCTAGCTCTCTCGTATTTTGTCATGTACTTTGATGTTTTCCGAGGCTTTTCCACGGGAGCCTCTTCAGTTTTTTCTTCACCTTCGCCTTCACCTTCACCAGGTATGGCATCAGGTAACTCTTCATTATTAGGATCTTCCTCTTCTTGCTCACTTCCGTCCTGTTAAAAATAACTCAAACAACTAAATTATAAATTATAAATTATAAAATAGAACAACGAAACTAATAATCAATCGTGATATTCTAGGTTACCTCGACCTGGTCCAATGGCTCATCCTCATATCTGAAAGCACATCCATGGATAATCCATCAATACCAAGAAAACGAGACAAGTAAGGTCTTTTTAACAATCCTAAAGCTATGATCCATCGATTAAACTACACACACAAACACACAGCAATCCATAGTCCATAGAACTTAAACTAGACAGACACATAATCATCAATCAACTCTTGTTGTCAGAGGTATTCAAGGTATTCAGTGACAATTACAAACCCTAATATTCAATCACTGTTACCTTCAAGGTCTAGCCCAATTATCCATCCTTTATTCTAATTTTAAATTTCAAAAAAGTGATGAAAGGGATTTGAACACAGTTCAATGAATCCTTACAGCTTCCGCTCCTATAGAACCTAAACCATTGTGCAAAAGATGACAAGGACACTAATTCGGAATCGAGATTCCCTGTCTTATAAAAATCTTAGTGAAAAGTTGGATTTCTAATCGGATGCATGCTTTACGCAGGTCTTCTCGGTATTCAATCATAAATACAAACCCTAATATTCAAGTACTGTTACCGGATGATGGAAACGACTAAACTCTAGGCCAAAAAAACAGAGAGAAATCGAAAGGATGAATGCGAAAGAGAAAATGTAAAAAAGATACGCACGCGCCGTCCATATCGTATTCCTCGTCCGCCATTGTTTTGGTTATTGCTTCTTCCGACCGCCGCAAAAGCTGAACCCTTTTCTTTCTCAGCCTCTCTCTCTCACCGGATAATTTCACTAACCAGGATTGAGAGGGATAGAGGCGTATTTATAATAGCGATGGCCTGCTCTCGATCATTCGGTTGCTCTTGTGGGCCGGCCCAATTATTATTAAAAGGCCGCCCATACGTAAAGCTTTTACTACGTATTAGACATTGACCCAATGTAAGACATTTGGTCCTTATCAAGTAGTCATTATTCAATTAAATGTCCATCATTACTGGACATTATTCCTTCCACTAGGTCATTATTAAGTCCTATTTAGGAAATAAAAAAGTTTAAGTCTTATTTTAGTAAAGTCATTATGTTTTAGTCCTATTTAGTGCAAATTTCAAAATATTTCGCATTGGGTTGTCTAGCTAATTCAATTCAACTTTTCATTAGAATAGCTTTCAAAATGATAATCAATAACTATGTGTTTTTTTAAATTAGTCTTCAAGATTAACTTATTTTCGAGATGAAACTCATTAATGCTTGAAAATAATGTTCGGTTCAGCACAATCTCGATAATTAGTTGAACCACTGTCAATTTGCTATTAATTAATTAAGAGTTAACAGAACAGATACTAACAGGATAATTTTTTTAAATTTGTTTTAAATTATTGACATACTTTTTCATGGTCATTACACAATTAAAAAAAGCCCAAAACATAATCGATTCGGACCGGTTCGGTCTTAAGTATTTCGGTCGGGTCCAGTTCAAACCAGAATAGATTAAGGTCTGGTCTTCGATCCGTGATTTTGTTCAGCTCGGTCTTTCTGATTCCGTCCGATTCGGTATAAATATATCCAATCACATTTTATCATAACATAGACAAATGAAGGATAAAATAACAAAGAAACTCGTAATTAAATTAGGTTTATTTTAAATACCAATTAACTTTGAGAAATTTACATAAATAGTAATAAAACATAATGATTTTCCCTAAATAACATCACATGTATTTTTTTTCTTAATGTAGTGCTTTTAATCATTATCCATTAGTCATTATTCAAGTAAATTTTCGCCATCACTGGACATTATTAAGTGCTATTTAGGGAATAAAACAATTTAAGTGCTATTTAGGATAATAACTTAAGTTTAGTACTATTTAGTGCAAATATTTCATTAAGTTTTCATGGATCATATATCTTGCCATGCATGCATATATCATGCGTGCTTCAACTACATTACCTTACCCTAACTTGGCGCAGCAGCGGGTACTTCATGCAAAGACTCATCCTATATGCTTATATTTCACACCTATATAAACACCCATTTATCTTCTCCAATTCTACCTTGTCATCAATCCATCGAGAACATATACTTATAATCTACACAACACACACATATATAAATATAATGGCAGGCTTGATGAAGAGGAGCAGTAATGTGGTTGTTGCCGTCGCCGCCCTCCTCGTGGCGGTGTTGGCTCTCATGATGGCGGCGGTGAGCGGCCAAGGCGACACCTGCAGCGCCGCGCTCGGCCGCCTCAACGTCTGCGCCGCCTTCGTGGTGCCCGGAGCGGCGGCCACCACCCCGAGCGCCGACTGCTGCGCCGCCCTCCAGGGCGTCGACCACGACTGCATTTGCAACACCCTCCGCGTCGCCTCTCGCATCCCCGCTCAGTGCAACCTCGCCCCCCTCTCCTGCCCCGGTAATTAATTAATTACTCCCTCCGTTCCCAAACAATCTTCCCATTTTGGATCAGTACGTTTGACTTTGACCAACTTATTTTCAATTTACTCTATTTACGGAATAAATAATAGCGTAAAATTAAAAAACGAGACGAAATAAGAGTATATATTATTATCCTTATTGTTTAAATAAAATTTTTCTCTCTTTTTTTTTATAAATGCAGCGAGCTAATGGAGGGAGGAGATTGAGAATTGAAGAATAATAAAGCATGGAGGATCCATATCTTAGCCATTAGATATATATGGATCAAGTTTGGGTTTTATTAGGACGTGTTTGGTGTCTGTTCTTACTTGACTAGTTTGCTTGTTTAATTTTCTAAAATAATATTGTACTCCGTATGTAGGAACGTCAAAATATTCTGAGGTGCCAAACGGGGCATTGCCTGCAGCCTTTGTATTGCGCTCTCATCAGATTATAAATTTCCAGTGCAATAATAATGGCTCTTCAAGTTGCTAAGTAGTACGTACCCGCACTAGCTAATTAATTAATTGTACTGTTATGTGCAATAAAGAACGAAATTAATTGGTGATAATAATATTTTGTTCCCTTTTGCTTTTAAAATACTTTAGCAAAAAACTTTTAATGATTCCTGGTAGGAAAGTATTATACAATTAAATATTATACCCTTCCATTCCTAAAAAAAATTCTTATTTCTTTTTTGGAATGTCTCAATAAAATCTTCTTTCTTTTTATCGAACACTTTAAATTTTATTACAAGTCAAATTAGAAACTTTTTCGGGACGAAGGAAGTACTTTTACGTAGATAAAGATTTTATAATAAAATCAATGCACAGTTACTAAGAAAAAATAAAATTGTATGATTGATAAAAGTGATACAGAGAATTACATTGCTGAATATGTGTCAATATAATAGGGAGTATAACTCTATATAGCTGGCTGGCTAGTTACATATTCATATACTACTTCAAGTCATAACAACATTTAATTTTTAAGGTGTAACAAACAAAACATTAATTAAATACTGCAGTGAAGAAACAATACATTAAATTTTTAAACCCTTGATAGTGCTTAATTAATTAGAACTGGCCAACATGGAGTAATGAATTTTTAGTACTTATTCCAAGCAGAGGGCCGCAGGGTGACACGTGAAGTCAACATACAGTTGACATGAGACACGCACCCCAGTCATACATTTGGAATAATGAATTAATTAAGGGCAATGCTAGGGGTACACCCCAAGTGTACATCAAGTCAACACAGACACACACAAACACAAAGTGTCTGTGTTGCACGGATACTTTGTGTCTGTGTTGGCTTGGTGTACACTTGGGGTACCCCATGTTGGTGTACCACTAGCTTAATTCATTAATTAAAACTAACAACTCATAGGCACCCAAGTTTGTTTCTTTATATAGAGACTTGAGAATTAAGAGTAATGCTAGAGTCACAAATAAACTGTTCATAAAATTTACAAACTTGTCTTTTTAACACTTTCCTAAAAATAAGATGCACTCAAATAATAAGAGATTTTTTACTTTAAAATCAAGTAAGTTTGTGAACTATATATTTCTGACTCTAGCATTTTCCGAGAATTAAAACCAACAACTCATAGGAAAGATGGATGTGTTTATTATATTAATCATTACGAATAACGTCGAGTACAAATTAAAGTCCAGGGTTGCACACCGCTCCGATCCCCGACATTCATAGGTGAAGAGGTCGTTGCTGGTTACGTTGCTTGATCGTAACCAAAGCGTATACTTCTTAATTCTTACTACGTATGTCCCAAAAAGATGTTTCCATTTTAACTTTTAGAAAATTTGAGGGATAGATTTTTTTGTGTTGGCTTTTCAAAAATGCCCTTGATGTGATTGGTAAAAGTATGATTTGATGCGTAGATTATTAGTAAAAGTGTATGATGTGATAGACAGGTTAAGAATTAGTATGAGCAAAAGTGGTTTTTTAATGTGAAATTTGCACTAAATAGGACTAAAACATAATGACTTTCCTAATGTAGGACTTAAACTTTTTTATTCCCTAAATATGACTTAATAATGACCTGGTGGAAGGAATAATGTCCAGTAATGATGGACATTTAGTTGAATAATGACTACTTGTTAATGACCAAAGGTCCTACATTAGGAAATAAAAACATATGGTCCTATATTGGGAAAATTATTATGTTTTAGTCCTATTTAGGTAAATTTCTCTTTTTTAATAGATATGAGAATGATTTTGTGGGACAAGTAAAAAGAGAAAAAGAAAAGAGTTTTTGGGACGGAAGGAGTAGATCAAATTTTTGACGTAGTGTTTTTAATATGTAATTTTTATTTGTAAATGATTTTAAAAAGATATGAGATTTTGTTTCATAAATCTCAATTTGTAATCAAATTTGGGACGGAGAGAGTATTAAATGTGGTAAGTAAACAATTCTCAAGAAATTTAAGATGGATATCATCTTGTTGTCCATCATAATTTTTATTTGCGCAACTATATTCAAAGTCAAGATTTGTACGTGGGGCAGTAATTATAGTTATATTTATGATATGTGAGGGCCAACAAAAAAATAAAAGACAAATACAAATGCACAATGCAGAAAAGAACGTAAAAAGTATCCAACTTTGGTATAAAATATGCCCAACCTGTCCATGATGATCTCCAATTAATTCCATTTGGGTACATTTGAGCTTTATGCATTGTTTGGATAAAGAAAAATGGAAGAAGAGAAAGTGGGTTGAAAGGAAAGCGAGAGAAGATAAATTGGAGAGAAAATGAAAACAAAATGTATGTTGTTAAGATGGGTGGAAAATAGAGAGAAAAGGTAAGAAGAAAGAAAATGTGTTAAAACCGAATGAAATGGAGGGCAAATTAAAATTCGGCCAAATAGCTCCAATGCCCCCGTGGTTTAAAAAAATGGCACTAATACGTCATCAGTTTTCAAAACTTAATTCAATTCTAAGGTCCACGTGGTTTCAAAATGTTGCACCCAGACTTTCTCTGGTCATTTTCCGGCGAAGATGAAGCATCGGTGCATATTTTCTAAATCATATGGGGTACTCATGTTCATTTCTTATTTTTTTGTTTATTATTTATTTGGGTTTTTCTTTTTTTAACTCTTTTTTATCTATTTGTTTCCTTTTTCTAGAAAAGTTTTTTAAATTTCTTTACAATTTTTATAATGTTTTAAAAATTCAAAATTCTTTGTGTTTGAAATAAAAACAAAACTAAAAATAAATAGCATATACTCGATCTATCTAAAATTAAACATTTTCACTTTTTGTTTTCTAGAAAAATAAATTTTAGAATAAAAAAATAAAAAAATGGAACAATGAAATGAAAATATTTGAAACAAGTAAATTACAAACATGACACATGACTTAGCAGCACCGGAGTAACGATATAAATATGAGACAATTCTAGGAATAATAACGTAAATTAATAAAATTGGAAGTATTTATGTAAAATTGTGGATTTTGGGAGTATTTATGTCAATTTTTTCATAAATTAAACTAAAAGAGCACATTAAACTTTTAGAGTTAAAACTCTCTAATCCCATTGATTTATTTCATGGGTTGCAATTTATTGTTAAGTTGTGTGGCGTGACATAATATTTGACGTAGCCTTAAACATTCTTATTGAGTAGTCTAAGGCGATGTTTGGTGAATTTTGAAGATATTATAAGGTATGAGTCTTGAAATCTGGAAAAAGGAAATGAATTTTGAAACTCGAAATAAAGTTGCTTGGAAAGATCTAGCATCACGATAACGATGGTTGTTGGCGGTGACAATGGTAACCGGTGGCGGAGATTAGTCAACGGTCGAGAGAGAAATCACAGCCTTATATTGATATCTCTCGAATTTGGGAGATATCAAAATCCTCCCTTTGGAAGATTTATGATCTCCGAAGATATCAAACATGATATCTCTTTCGACTTCAGCAAACAACAAAAAAAAGTTTTGATATTTGAAGATATCAACATTCATATATCTTTTGCTCACCAAACACACCCTAAAATCTTTTCTTAACATACAGACTTACATTTGAGGTTTTGATTGAGTAAGTTCTTCTACATGTTATGAGAGAATCGCTTGCATAGAGATCACGCTTTCGAACTCTACCACCATCTAATTAATTTTTTTAAAAAATAATTTTCACATGCAAGCCTTTTGCAAAAATAAGTTGTTTCCCTGTGAAGTAATAACATGTTAGAGTATAAAATATTTTTTGAGTCTATAAAAGATAAAGTTTAGGATAGGTAAAAGTTACTAGCTAGACTAGATCATAAGACGCTTAAGTTAAATAAAATGAAAAAATCCAACTAAGAAATTCATAAATTCATAAATTTCTCTTCAACTTTTTTGCGTGTGGATACATTGAGAAAACATATGTTGCCACTATTGAAAACTAAGACCCTCTTCTTTTAAATTGAAATTTCAGAGTTGGATGTTTGAATAAATTAAAATAAATTGGAAAAAGTTGGATAAAAAAAGAAATCATAATTGTTTGTTTTGAGGTGGTATGGTATAAATTTGGTTATATACTCCCTCCGTCCTAATTCTTTCTTCCCAGTTTGACTTTTCCCCATTTTTAATTTTTGGCTTTGACTTCAAATTTTACCCTCCTCAAAAAAGATTTTTTGAATTTTTTTTTACAATCATTCAAAATATAGAGTTAGAAGATAATTGGTGTAAATATATGAGGGTATTAATGTCATTTGTCATTTTTTTCTAATGGGAAGGTAGTTTTAGGACGGAGAAAAAGATGAAGTGGGAAGAAAGTTTTAGGACAGAGGGAGTAATGTTATTCTATATTCATCATATATATAAATCCATATTTTAAGTCGTTATTGAATGAAACTGAAATTGGAAAAAGTCGAAAGAAATACTAAAAAAATGAAAAAAATATAGAAATTATATTGAAGAAGTTTTTGAAATATTGAAGAGGTTGATATATTCTCGAGGGACATTGTATTAGAGACAAAAGTTATGGCACTTGCTGAGTGTGCTTTAATAATGTATTAATGTTTGTGGACCGATAGACTTGCCAATTGCCCTCCATTAATTCATTTCCTAGTATAGCGCCCGAGTATTATTTCAAGTCTTTTATAGAATAAATCAATCAAATTTGAGGGGCTGTTTGTTTCAGCATCTTAATGGTTCAAATGTCTGAATGGTTCAACACTTAATGGTTCAGACTGTTTGTTTCAGCCTCTTAAAGGTTCATATGTCTGAATGGTTAAGAGATTTGCTTCTGAATGGTTAAGTATTAATGTATTATACAGAGTCTGAATGGTTAAGACCTCTTATCTGAATTGATCAGACATTTGCCTCTGAATAGTTAAGCAATATACTAGCTCTTAATGGTTCAGACCTCTTACTGGTTCAGCACTTAATGGTTCAGACCTCTTATTGGTTCAGCACTTACCCATTCAGAAGTTGTCAAACAGCCCCTGAGTAAAACAACACCACGGTTCCCATGACATTGGAACTCAATGTCATGGGATGACCCGAGGTCCCTACGGTGTCCCGTTCAAAAAATTGATTGTTCCTACCCCCTCTAACCCCCCCGATAAACCCTCCCAACTCAGCCCAACCCGAACCAATCCCTCCTCCCCCGTCAATTGCACCCCACAAGATGTAGTTGACTTTGGAGTCAAAATTTGACTCCAAAGTCAACTACATCTTGTGGGGTGCAATTGACGGGGGAGGAGGGGTTGGTTCGGGTCGGGCCGAGTTGGGGGGGTTTATCGGGGGGTTAGAGAGGGTAGGAACAATCAATTTTTTGAACGGAGCACCGTAGGGACCTCAAACGGAGCTCATGTTATAGGATGACATTAGGGGTTAATGTCACTAGAACCTTGCCCGTAAAACAAAGCAGGTATATTTAATTTAGAAGTTCTAATTCATATTTTTATCTCAAAGTAAGAGTTTGTGTTGTAATATTATGATACTGTGTAAGTGTATAGTGACATTTTATCATGTGTTTTGATACTATATATTGGTATTAGGGAGAAAGACCAAAGTAGGACCAAAACATTAAAAATATACCAAAATAAGACTTTCATATTTTTATTCCTGAAATAGGACTTACATTACCAAAAAAGTATAATAATGCGCATATGTATAGTGTCACATTACCACAGTGCAAATTCTTATTTCGGGGAAAAACATGAAAGTCTTACTTTGATACTTTTCTCTATGTTTTAGTCATATTTAGGATGATTTCCATTGGTATTATTGGCATTGTATTCCTATTTTAGAGATAAAAAACATGAAGCTTCTATTTTGCTACTTTCTTCATATTTTACCCTTGGTTTAGTCGTTTTCATTTTTTTATTTTGTCGAGACTTCTGGGGTCCGGCTATCCATTTGGGTTTGAGTATTGTCCAAACACATTGGGCTTAACGAGTATGTTATTGTTAGCTCTATTCGAACCTCCAATAAACCCTAATCGACCCTCGATTAGTTGTTTAAATACAATCATGAAAAATTTAATTGCTACTAACTATTTAATTGAGTGATTGTTAACCCTAATTAGATATCTTGGCGTGTATACAGTGGCGGAGCCAGATGTTTGGTGGAGTGGGGTCAAAATAAAGTGTAAATAAAAAATATAAAGTGTAAATTAAAAAATTACAAGACATAGTTTATAAAAGGGTTAAAAAATGACATAGGGGGAATCGAACTCAGGCTTGTGGAGATGATGTGCATGCCTTCAAGCATTTCTGCTAGGCAATATAATATTCACAATATTATATACGGAGTATAAACCTTTTTAATCCAACTGAGTGGATGCAACTGCACCCATTTGCTCCTATGTGGCTCCGCCACTGCGTGTATATGTGCATTGGTTGACGGAAAATGTGAGTGTTAATGATATTGTGATTATATAAGATTACTGGCATGTTAAATACGGAATATTTATGTGGTGAACATATAGCTAACGAAATATGGAGTGAGTTATGGAATTACTATTGCGATCATGATATATGAGCCGACAAAGTATAAAACTCTAGCTCGACATAAATGATCGATCGTGCTTAGTAGTGTGACAGAGGTGACTCGATCAGATTCATCGTGAAAGATTGGGTGGATATTAGTATTCGAACAGAGGTGGCTGGATTTACCGGCATCAGAGTGTACGTACATGAGACCCCAAATGGTGTTGAAGACATCAAGTTTTAGTTAAGGAGATATTGTTATTGGAGCAACTAGAACCAAAATGTAGGAACCCACAGAAGCTGAACGAATGAATTAGTGAACCGCGTTGCTATCAAATGGTAGCGGAGCAATCCTTCGACCGTGATGGGCCAATGAGCTTAGTTCACATAGGAGGGAAGATATATGATTTTGAAAAAAAGATGCAACGAGTTTAGGATGTTTCATTCTTAAGTGAGGGTGGATGTAATACCCTGTGTTAAGATGGAAATAGAAAAAACTCAAGAGGATTGATAATACAACTCATACCAACAAGATGCATGCATCTTCTTTTTTGGAGCTCATCACCTAAAAATTCTAAAGTTAAATGTGCTGAGCTTGAAGCGATTCTAGGATGGGTGACCCCTAGGAAATTCCTTTGGCGCGCACGAAGATGCGCGAGAAAGACTTTTGTTAGTTTATGAGACCAGTCTACAATCCTATTAGCAGACACTTCTGATCAGGGTGGGGGCCGAGGTGTTACATAAGCATTTGGCAATTATTACCTCTAATAACGACATGAAAGATTGCATGATAATGTTGTGATTTATAGATTATACCACATCACTTGAATTGTTCTGTTTATTTTTACATTGATTGCAAAAATCATATGGTTAATTTTGAATGATTGAATTAACTATGTGTATATTCGAATTATTAGATATTCTTACCCAACTTAATTGTTGAGCGTATAGTATATTTTACTTGCTACATGTAGATGACAATAATAATGATAATATAATTGGAACCAATCTCGGAAGGCAATGAAAAGAAAGACATATATGAATGCGGATACATAATGTTGACTTATTATGTATCCCAAAGCAAACTTATTACTTTTTTTGGTGTGAACCCAAAGTTGCATTTTTGAATAATTTACTTTAACTTGTGTACCCTTTAACTACTCCATTCGTTCTAAAATATCATTTTGTTTTGGATAAATTAATTGTGGATATATATGAAGTGATAGGTAGGTTAGTAATTTGTATGCGTAAAAAGAAGATTTTAATTAAAAGTAAAAGTGTTTTAACGTATGGAAAGTAAATGTAAATTTTTTTGTGACGAATAAAGTACAAAACAATGATAATATATCGATCATTTTCATTTTAAATTATTCTAACTTCATCCTAAAAAAAATTTCCCGTTTCGATTTACGAGTTTAATTGAAGTTATTTTCAATTGAATTTATTTGATTATAAGTGTATAATTAAAAAAATAAAATTACTCCATATAAATTTAATAATTATATCAAAAGATTTATAAAACATGAGATTGTATATTCGCCCCACAAATCAAAACAAGACCTTTCCATACACATTGTCTACACTCATCTGCGCCCATGAAACTTCCAAGCGAGTCCCTCATCCTAAAGTTTATCCAAGTCAAGTACGCTTAACTTAGAGGTTTCTAAGTGATGAGTTCTTCTAAAAAAGATACACTTTGCAGATATGAGTAGTACTATATATTAATCCGTCTAAGCTTTTTTTAATTCACATCTTAACACAAGGTATTACGAGCAGACCCTCCAATCTTGATAGCACAGGTTAGCTGGTTTCCTCTAGACTTTTGGATTCTGTAGGTGCAAATTAGATACATCACTCTTTGTTTACACACATGATGTTATTATGGCATACTTACTTCTCTATGTTGATGACATAGTCTTTACTGCATCCTCGACTTCCATACTTCACCAGATTACTCAAGCTCAACAATTAAAGGGAGAATTTTCTATGACCAACATGGGGGGCCTCTATTTTTTTTCTTGGTATTAATGTACATATGCGCACACCAATTGACCTCTTTCTTCACCAGGGGTAGTTTGCTCATGAGATTTTCGATCGGACCAATATGCTCATGTCCAAGCTTATTGCTACTCTTTTCGACACTAAAACAAAATTGGCCGCCGACTATGGTGTTTCCATTACTGACCTCACCCTTTTTCGGTTTGTTTTTAGGCTACTCAATTTCTCACCTTTATACACCCAGATCTCACCTATGTCATCCAGCAACTGTGCCTTCATCTTTACAGCCCTTGCAAGACACATCTCACACCATTGAAATGGGTACTTCGATACCTTCATGGGACAGTCACCCCCTTATTGGCCCAACTACCCAGGTACTTGGCGGTCCACTTCTGATTATTGTGTTTTCCTTGGGGATAATCCTGAGTTTTGGTCATCCAAGAGACAAGCCACCACATCTCGATCAAGTGTAGAGACCAAAAACCAGACAGTAGCTAATGTCATTGTTGAGACCAGTTGGATACGTAATCTTCTCCCTGAGTTGCACCAGCTGCTGCATTGCACAACTCTCGTACTTTGTGATAACATCAGTGCGTGTACCTGTCATCAAACTTCGTGCAACACCAATGCATGAAACATGTTGAGGTTGGCACACACTTTATTCGTGATAAAGTTGCACTCGGATATGTCCATGTCCTCCATGTTCCCTCTTCTTCACAATATGCTAATATATTCACAAAGGGAATGCTGACACTCTCTTCATCGGTTTCAAGCACAATCCTTGCATCTGTTTGTCCCCAATATAACCGGGAGCATGTTAAATATATCGTATATATTTACTATTATTATGTATGTATTACGTTCCTCATATTCTTCTTACCGTCATTATAACTCTTGATGTATATATAAAGAGGTGAAATCTTCTCTCGTAAAATAATAGAAAATATTCATTCTTCAATGACTGCACTATATTGTTTTATCAAATGTATAACAAAAATATAGATGAAGAAAGTGATTAAAGTTTGACTTTGTGAATAGCAATAGAGAAGATAGTTTTAGGACAGAAGAAGTAAATACAAATAAAATCAATCAAAAATCTGAAATAATAAAAAAAGGATGAACCTATCTTGAAGGCCTTTCAGAACCAGCCAAATGCCCTCCTTAGAGTAGATAAATTACGTTTTAATCACATATTAGTGATAAATAGTGGAGTTTGCAACCAGTACTTGCAGATGTCATATACTCCGTATATGTTTAACATAATTGCTTCCCAACCCAATTTCTCAGCATGGAACTCAAATATTACCCCCGGGCACCCATTATCTTACCTACTGCATAACATCTATCGACAAAAATATGAAATAATATTAAACTAGACGGATGATGATTGTCCTTTCTCTCCCTTTTTTCATCTCAAACCAATCAAAATATAACAAATCTCAGTTTTAACATATTTTTATTACTTCACGTCATATATTTTACACCGGTTAAATCTCCTTCAAGCCCGTCACTCCGTGCCTAAACCAAAGTGAGCGGGACGAAGTTATAAAATCCGGTTCCATTAACTCAAAACCTAACTCTAGATTTTAGAATTGAGTCAATTCACACTCGTTTTACAACACGGCTCCGTACAACACTGCATCTCCATACTATAGAGACAGACTAGACTTATATAGGCATGGCTATGGCTATGGCTATGGCTAAACCTCCATTCCTCAATCTCTTTCCCCATCTCTCATTCCTTTTTTCACGGCCATAATTGCATCTCGAAGATATAACACAACTCTGCGGATATTTATGAGAAAAGAAAGAGATATTCGAACGGTATATTAAAAAAAGAGAAAAAAGATTTGAGATTGAACCCAGAAGACAGGCAGAGAGATTCTCCCAAGGTTTCGAGACAATTCCATCCGACGTTTGACTAACGTGCGCCGTTTGATTCACTGTAAGTTGCTGGCAAATCATTGTAGATGATGCCCACGCTTAAATAAATAAAAATACGATTCTTTTTTTCTATGAAAATACGATTTTGATTTTTTAACTTTTATTGGGTATGTCAAATGATTATAATTGAATAATCATAAAAAGAAAACCTTTTTTGTTGGATTTTGTCCGTACAAAAAAGTGTATTTTTGGGGCATGATCTCATCCTCGTAGAACAGAGCAAAAAAGATTCAATCTTTATTCTGGAAAGAGTCAACAACACCCTCTATAAGGTTTTGCAGTTTATTTTATTATTTTTGGTTTTGTTTTTGTAAAAAAAAAACCCAAATCTTTTTTTTTTTATTTTTAGGGATGGGGTTAAATTTGTAGTTGTATTACTGTAGGAGTTCGGCTTTTCACTTTCTCGGCGTTTTTTGCTCCTCTTTCCGCTTTACGGGGGAAACTTTCTTCCTTCTTCCCCATGACGGATTTGACAGATATATTAGCGGTCAAATAAACCCCCCCTGTGTCTCGGTTTGAACGAAACTAGGGTTTAGATTTGTGAAGAAGATTGACAGATGGAGATAGTTGTGCAATAAGGGATTCTTGGTTGTCTTCCACCAACCCTCATTTCCTTCTTCTTTAATTTTCTGGGTTTGGGTTGGTGTGGGTTGCAGAGATCACTAATCTCAGAGAGAGAGAGAGAGAGAGTGAGGGGTTTTTTTCTTTGCATTTTTTATTTCTTGGGGGAGTGAAAAGACTCGAGTTTTATGCGTTAATGACGACGGCGAAGACTCTTGGAGGCTCGGTAGATAGCAGCGGCGGCGGGGGCGGCGTTAGTGCAAGAAAGGTGGCTGAGATTCCGTACCGTTGTACCATGACATCACAGCCACAACGGGTTGACCCACCTGTGGTCCAGACCCGGCCCACGCCCAAATCCTCTCCGCTCTCAGTTTTCCTTGTATGAAAATTATCCAACCATCTCCATTTAATTTCTTCCCTCAAAAGAGGGGAAAAAGATTAATTGAACCAGTAAAGCTTCCATTTTTACTTCTTTGATTTTGCATAAAAGTCTATGACTGTTATTGTTGTGCAGAAGCCCAAACTGGAGGGTGGTCTTGGAATGATAGGGGAAAACTTTGATCCGGGTGTAATGGGAAGAATCAGCAGAGAAGAAGGATATGAAAGCAGGTCTGGGAGTGAAAATTTTGAAGGTGCATCTGGGGAAGATCAAGACCCACCCACAGACAAAAAATCCTCTAAAAGAAAGAAATATCATCGCCACACCCCGTATCAGATTCAAGAACTCGAATCGTAAATTAACTGCACTCTGATGTTTTCCTTCTTTATACCATTTTTGTCATCTTGAAAGAATATACTCCGTATGATTTTGGGTTTTTTAGTGCTTTCAAAGAGAACCCACACCTTGAGGAAAAGGCAAGATTGGAGCTTGGCCGGAGATTGAACTTGGAAAGCAAACAGGTTAAATTTTGGTTTCAGAATAAAAGAACTCAAATGAAGGTATGTATGTGTTTGTATGTAACTGTGAACTCAATTCATTTTGTCATTTGTTGTGGGTGTTGAATGAATCTTTGCCTAAAGCTGAAATTTGTGTCCGTTTTCCTTTTGGCGAATGAACTAGGCACAACTAGAGAGGCACGAAAATGCTATACTCAAACAAGAAAACGATAAGCTTAGGATAGAGAACATAGCAATGAAGGAAGCAATGAACAGCCCAATATGCAACCAGTGTGGAGGACAAGCAATGCTTGGTGATGTACATGTTGAGGAACATCATTTAAGGATTGAGAACGCGCGTTTAAGGGATGAACTGAACAGAATCTGTGTGTTGGCCAACAAGTTCCTAGGCAAGCCCTTTTTGCCCCTCACAAATCCAATTGGAGATTCAGGCCTTGAACTGGCAGTTGGGAGAAGCAATTTCGGAGGGATGACTCCAGGGGTGGACGCTTCTATGCCACTGGGACTTGATTTCGGGTTGGAGGCATCGTACGATAAATCAATGTTGATGGAGCTTGGTTTTACAGCTATGAATGAACTGTTGAAGCTTGCTGAGGCTGGCGAGCCTTTATGGCTTAGAAGCTTAGATGGGAATGGAGAGGCTTTGAATCTTGAGGAATATGAGAGGTCCTTCCATTGCTGCATTGGGATGCGAGGGCCTAATTTTGTAACTGAAGCAACGAGGACAACTGGTACTGTCATGTTCAATAGCATGGCCATTGTGGAGACCTTAATGGATGCTGTAAGTTATAACATCTTTTGTTCTTCTACTAACCATTTATGTCTTTTCAGAAACTGACTGTATGTGTTTCTTTGATCATGTGTTATTGCAGGATCGATGGGCAGAAATGTTCACGGGCATTGTTGGAAGAGCCTCCACAGTCGATGTAATCTCCAGCAACTCTAGTGGAAGCAGAAATGGCTCCTTACAGTTGGTATTTCTGCTTGCTCTTTCGTTGTTTTCTTTACATCCTCTTGATTCTTAAAAAAGAAGAAGAAAACATTTAGGTATCTATGGAACCTTAATTATTGTGTTTTGTAATGCAGATGCACGCAGAGCTTCAAATCCTGTCTCCATTGGTACCCCTTCACAACTTGAAGTTTCTCCGGTTCTGCAAGCATCACGCTGAGGGTGTGTGGGCTATCGTCGATGTTTCTGTTGATGGGTCCCACCCCCATGAATTTCAAAGCTGCAGAATGCTTCCTTCTGGCTGCATCGTCCAAGATTTGCAGAACGGTTATTCAAAGGTATCTACAAAACGGCGTCTTTTTTTATCGTGATTCAATTTGAATATGCAGGCTGTGAACTTCAGACCTCAAAATTGCATTTTTATCATAATGTGTGCTTCTTTTTTGCAGGTTATATGGATTCAACATATGGAATATGATGAAAGCGGCGTTCACAATTTCTTCCGGCCATTGATAAGGTCGGGTTTGGGGCTTGGAGCACAAAGGTGGCTTGCCACCCTACAGAGGCAATGCGAGTGCTTGGATGTCATCATGTCTTCTTCCTCCATTCCTACTCCAGAAAGTTCAGGTCTTTCCATTACCCTTTTCTCCCCCATGGTTAAAACTCCTATCAAACTTGAACATATTTCTTTGTTTTTACACAATCAAAGGACATAAACACATATGAGTGCTTCTTGGAAACATGTATTTTTGTTCATAGTTCTTCATACATGTGATTATTGCAGCAGCTATAAGTCCAAGTGGGAGGAGGAGCATCGCGTCACTAGCACAGCGCATGACCCGCAGCTTCTGCGCCGTGGTTTGTGCAAACATTTACAAATGGGACGCCATCCAAACCGGTAGCGGCGATGACCCTGCTGCCGCCAGGCTGAACATGCGCCAGAGCGCCGGCGAACCCGGAGACTCCCCCGGCGTGGTGTTGAGTGCCACTAAAACCATTTGGTTGCCGATTGCGCGGCCCCACTTGTTTGATTTCCTGAGGAATGAAGAGACGAGGAGCCAGTGGGACGCCTTGTCCAATCACACCTTGCAGCAGATTATCCACATTCCCAAGGGCCGCAACGATCCTTCCAATCTCATATCGCTTTATCGCAACGTTAGTCTCACACTCTTTTTTTTGTGCCGAATCGGCTATCATGGTGGGGGTGCAAGGGGTAATTTACCTAAATAGGACTAAAACATAATAGCTTTCTCAATATAGGACCATATGTTTTTATTTCCCAATGTAGGACTATTGGTTATTATCTATTAGTCATTATTCAACTAAATGTCCAGCATCACTTGGACATTATTTTTCTCACTAGTCATTATTAAGTCCCATTTAGGGAATAAAAAAGTTTAAGTCCTACATTGGGAAATGAAGTATGTTTTAGTCCTATTCACTGCAAATTTCACTTTTTTTTGGTTCACACATGCAGACGGCTTCAGCGAATGTGAGCCAGAACAGCACGCTGATATTGCAAGAATCGTGCACGGACGCGTCCGGTTCGATCATAACGTACGCGTCGGTCGGCGCGCAAGAGATGACGGTCGTGATGAACGGTGGGGATTCTTCCTCAGTTGCTCTCTTGCCATCTGGATTCTCCATTGTGTCCGACTGTTTTGACCATTCGGGCTGGCCCGACCAATCCAAAGGAACCCTTTCGGACAGAGGAGGCAACAATGGTGGGACCGGATCACTGCTGACCGTCGGGGTCCAAATGCTGGTGAGTAGCTCGCCCGGTGCAAAGCTCACGATGGAGTCGGTCCAGACCGTGAACACACTCATCTCCCGTATGGTTTTGGACATCAAAGCAGCCTTCCATTGCAACTGATGCGTTTGTTTTTTTTTTCAATCTTCAATGTTAATTTTTTGGGTTGGGTAAAGATACGGGCGGTTTGAGTCAAGAACGAACCGAACGAGACGGGTGGTGGTTCGGGTATTGACTCGGGTATATGTACCAGTAAGCTAGCTGCAGGAAGTGCTGTTTGTAACTAGTTTTTTTGATGTTTTTGGGACATTGAAGTAGTGGCAAGGGGCTGAACTCTTTTGTCATTGTGGTGTTTCTTTTTTGCTCAAAATTGTTGCTCTTTCAATGTACAATGCTGGGGCTTTTTTGTCATTAAAGAATAGAGTATTTCTTGCCCTTTGTTTTTTATTCCCTCATCCTAATTTAAGTTGTTTGTTTACTTTTCATAAAATAAAACTTTAATTAGGTTTTAACTCCTTTTTATGACATATTTGAGAAAATAATAATTTTGTCACTTTTGTTTTGTAAAATTTTGGTGTAGTTTTTAAATATTTAAATTTTATTTTATTTACTCATTATTCATTTTAAAAATACTGAATTGAAAATAATTTTAATTAAATCTTGTAAACAACAAAGGATTCTTTTGGGAAAGAAGGGAGGGAGAGAGTATATGTGTATTAATTTGGTTTAGGGAGTATCTACAATGGCCTACTTTGAATTGAAGATCATTCTAAATATAGGACAAGACAGTTAAGGAAATATAACTAATTCCTAATATCATTGAGAATCTTTTATTTTAATGTGCATAATTTACCAAAGATGTAAAATAATTGTTTCAAATAATGATCTCAAATAATTAAAAAATAAAAACTTAAATACACAAACGATAAGTTTGTGTATTTTTTTTAGTGTTTTGTTTGTGACTCTATCATTAGTCATTACTCCATATTCCATATTTAACCCAATACAATCTTTCAATGCTTGCTTCAAAAATATAAAATCTTTGAAGCAAGCATATAATACATACATTAAAAGAGGAACCTCAAATACTCCGTCCAAGAAGTCTTTTTTGACATCATTGCCTTCCAAATTGCGAAGAGCTTATCTACAATATAGTGAATTTACTCTCACGAATATATGATACAATGCTACAATATAATTTGAAGGATGCTAGGATTACACCAAAAGTGTACCACAAATGTATACCACCTCTCTATTACTCCCTCCGTCCCCCTAAGATGTTCTCATTTTGACTTTTGGTAGTTTTTAAGGAGAGTTGAAAAAAGGTGAAAGATTACCATAATACTCTTAATGAAAATGGGTGGAGTGTATTAAATGAGGTGGGTGAGGTGTAATAAATAAAGTAAGTGAGGGTAATTGTGGTATTTTGATTGTTAAAAAATGAAATGAGAAGATCTATTGTGGACTAAGAAAAAGGGCTATTGGGAAGATCTATGAGGGACGGAGGGAGTATCACTCATTTTATTTATGTATTTCTTTTTTATTTTACATGCCAAAATATGTAGTAATGGAGGGGGTGATGTACATTTGTGATACACTTTTGGTGTACCTCTAGCATTTTTTGAAATAATTTAGTTTATGTAATTTAATTTGTTATGCCTTGAAGACCTTTTTTCTGTCTCATCATATCCTAAGCGCTTGAATCATCAGAATCGGCACTGCTAGCTCGTCACCCAATATAATTCTATGTTATTAAATATGAAGCTAAGTCAATTGAGCTAGAGTAGCGAAGTAAAATCTACTCATTTCTCGGAGTAGTAACGTGCAAAAAAAAATCTTAGAGTAATATTATATAATTAGCAAATTGAGGGATTATTGGTGTGAATATTTCATGAATAAAATAAGTAGTTGACATAAACTTATACAAAAAAATGCTACACAGGAGGGAAAAAAATGTGCTTTTAATATTTTTAAAACTATTTTAAAATAAATATCCTTTTAAGTTATTGAAGAAAAAAAAAATCACCTGAGAGGCTAGCGAATCCTCCTTTTGGACGGACATTTTTTGTCTTCCTCTTCGCTTCAGTTTTATATTTTCAAACATTTGACTAAATCCTCCTTTTTGGACAGACATTATACACATGGATTATACTCCGTATGTTTTTTCACTACTTAAATCGGCCGTGAATGACTGAATAATCTTCATTTCATTTCTGGTATGTTTGATCAATATTAATCATGTTATTATAGTCAATGCTAAATTTGATTTTTTATGTTTCACATATATTTGCTACTCCCTCCGTCCCCCTAAGATGTTTTCATTTTGACTTTTAGTGGTTTTTAAGGAGAGTTGAAAATATGTGAAAGTTTACTATAATACCCTTAATGAAAATGGGTGGAGTGTATTAAATGAGGTGGGTAAGGTGTAATAAATTAAGTAAGTGGGGGTAGTTGTGGTATTTTAATTGTTAAAAAATGAAATGAGAATATCTATTGTGGACAAAGAAAAAGGGCTAATGAGAAGATCTATGGAGGACGGAGGGAGTATTTAGATTAAATTGCATGATATTAATTGTCTAGCTATAAATTTCTATAGAGTACATAATGTCAAATTTTGATCTTGAAATATACTCTGTATTTATCTTCTCATCATATAGGACATGCATGTATATAACAAAGTAATTTTATCTTAGGTAAATACTTTCATGGTCTTCAGATCTATTCTAATTATATAGACCTTGCTGATGTGGATTTCTTATTATTAGTATTATGACTATAATTAGAGTTAGGATTATGGGATGGAGATTAGGAATTATGTTGTGGGGATTAGAATTAAGATCAGTATTAGAATTAGAATTAGGATTAAGATTAGATACATTAAATTGGACAAAATATACCCTTTTCGACTTCAGCTTCTAAGCCCAATAAATTTTGTGAGGTCTAAGATTTAGGTGTCAACCTTAAATTAGGTACACGAAATCACTACTCTTTATCTTATCATTGTTGAAAACCCATGTGGACAACAATATGGTGAGGACTGAGGACAAGTCGGCTTCTGTTTTTTGGGGGGTCATATTTTCTATGTATAAAACTAGGGTGTCACACTACATGGGTGCTATCTTGCTTTGCACACACATAGATGATAATCGTTTGTGTTGCACCAACGATTATCGTCTGTGCTGCATAGAAGATTATCGTTTCTCTGTGTCTGTACAAAGCATGTGGATACTCATGTGGTGGTACCCTAACACGATTCATTTTCTAAAGTGCTTCTTTGGTGTACCTTGGATGCATATCATTTTTGTGGACATTCTCAAATAATTTTTTTTCTTATTCTTTTTATTTAAAAAATATTACTTATTTAAATACTAAAAACACTTATTTTATTCATATGTAGGTCCATGATAGATGTTAAGTGAATTCAAGAACCATAGTTTTCAATCGTCAAATATGTAACGTATCTGCGTGGTTAAATGGATAATTTTTTTTTTGATACTGTTAAATGAATAAAATTGATTAAACCTAAGCATCAAATTATGTAAAGTGTACGTAGCTTAAAGGCTTAAATGATGGAATTAATATGAGTTATTGGCCTAAACAGCTTTTATAATTATAATCTGATAATCATTACGAACATGCCAACCGAGACTTTATTGGCATCTTTCTTTCTCTATTTTTATTTTTTCACTTCAATTTATTTCGAAAAAAGTTCTCTTATCTTTTACACGGTTTGTTTTTTCGTTCTAATTTGATTGTCTTTTCATTGGTCACGATGTAAAAGAAAAAACTCCTGTAAAAAAACACGCAAAACATGAGAGTATTTTAAATACAGAGTTATGATATTGCGGTTTTAAAGTGGGTATTTATATGTGTTTTTAAACTAGTCAAAACTATTTATAACTAATTTTTAAGTTACAAATCAGCTAATGACATATTTCTGTGTGCTTATGAGTTGATTTATAAGCTGTTTATAAGTCAGAAAAAATAAGTAAATCTTAGTTACTTATTTTTAAGCCAATTTTTTTACTTCTCCATTTTGACTAGATTATTTACAAAGTAATCAGGTGCTAAAATGAAAGATATTGAATTGAACTGAATAAAATTATGAGACTGTTTGTGATTATTTTCATGTAACAGATTTTAACAAAAAATCTATCAATTTAAATCAAGTCAAAATAATCATATGGAGTATTTAGTAATTCACAAAAAAAAATCATCATCGCTGTAATCGCCAACATTTATTCGAGTAAAACTCAATAGACGTAATCTAAAGCTCATTCATTATGTGACAAAGATCTGCCTCACTAGTCTAGCGACTATTCCCACAAAATCGTTTTCGCTGTCACCATTTTAGTATACGTGCTTCAAGCTACTCCTTGGTATACCCCCCAATGTCCTAAACGTTTTTCTCAGTTCGTTATTATTCACATGGTCAAACCTTAATCACTTTTTAAAACCTATTTTCATTATTAGTTTTTTGATAAAATAATGTAGTCTTGTCATCTCTTGTTTTGTAGAACTTTTGATATAATTTTTAAATATATAAATTTTATTTTTTAATTCTAAACCATAATTGTTATTATATTACAATTGAGATTTTCTTTAATTTGTAATCCTTATATATATATATATGAATGAAACCATCATTTTTCAAAAAAAAACCATTTTTAATATTGTATTCATTCATTTCTTACACACGTTAAACTAAGGGCCTGTTTGGGAATAACGTTAGAGATTAACGTTAGTGTTTTGGATAAAACTTTAACGGTGCAGATTACTTTGGAAACACTAACGCTAAACTCTGCTCGTAGATAGCCTTTTCAAAACGCTAATCGCTAATCGCTAACGCTATTCAGCATTCCCAAACAGGCCCTATTTTAAATAAAAAGAACACCTAGATCGAGCCCGAACGAAGGCATTTGATTCTTTGTGTGTGATTAGATTGAGAAAAATATGAATTAATAATATATATAATATCTACATTGTAATAAAGTCAATAACACTAAAAAAGAAGGTAAAAGTCAAATAATTAATTATGTAAATATAGTTAAATGATACGAAGTCATTTTGAGTCAAATAAATAATTATGCAAATGCACTTAAATGACACGAAGTCATTTTTTTTATAAAGAAAAGTCAAGGTCTTGAAAATGTGCATTAATTAAATAAAAGGAAAGGAAAAAAAGGAAGTTTCACTAAAATTTTCTTTTAAAATAATGAAAAAAGATGTATGGAGGCCCTTAAGAATGAAGACAAGCACATAAACCTAAAGTGAAAATAAAGTGAAAGTTGAGATGGAAGTGCCTATGAGCCTTTCATTATGCCCCCCTGACCCCCTATCAATATTCATTTTTGAAGATAATTTTGTTTGTTTCCCAAATTTTAAATTAAAAATATGATACGAACTGTAGTTTTTTTTTCTTTTTATTTTTTTAGAAATTGTTAAGTTGTTTACTCATCAAGACCATTAGTTAATTTGTTTTCTATTTTATTTTTTTGCACTGGGATACTTTTTCAGAACATAGCTTAGTTATGTTTTGAGTGCTTTTTTTTATATGATTTCCACTTTTGTAAAATCACTTGATCTAAAAAAACCTTCTAGACCAGCAAACTTTTGGATATTCCCTTGTGAAAGTTTTAATACTCCGTATATGAGAGCTATAATTGTCACTTATAAACTTATAATTGATGAAAGTCACACCCAGCTCAAATACTAAATTCACTCTACACTAAATCCACTTCATTAGTATTTATATTATTTGTAGTCCATAAGCTCATATAGAATACGGAGTATTTTACAATTTTATTTAAACATTTTGATAAATTATATTCTAAATCAAAATATAATTTTATTTTTAAATTTTCTACTAAATATTCTTTAAATTATTAGATATGGAATATTTTTAAAATAAAGTTGTAGTTTCAATAATTTTGTTAATATTTATATAAATTTTTGTTCTTGAAAGTAATAATACAGAATAAATGGTGAATAGTTTAAAAGTTATACTCCAATATAAAAACAATTTCTCAAATAAAACTTATACAGAGTATAGCATTCTTTTAAAATAATTAAATAACTATGTAGATTAAAAAATGATGAAATGTATATTGGTATAATGCATAGAAAAAAGAAGGTTATATACATACACAACCAATGGTCATTCAATTTTTTAATAATAAAAGTTATTTTAATTAATGAAAAAATTAAAATAAGAGATCGATATCAAATCTTTAAAATTGAAATTAAAACTAATATTATTTTAAAAGTAATAAAATGTATGAAATAAATTATGGAGAGTTTTAAATATTTGTGTAAAATGATTTTTTAACTTATAAAGTTTATATAACCTTTTTAAATAATAAAATAATAATGCATCCGGGGTATATTTAGTTAAAAGATGTATTTAGTGTTTTAACGGGTGCAATTATGGTCACCCCTTATTTATCTATCATTATATTTTTGAATTTTGATTATACATGTATTGAGTTTTTGAACACACTTGTATAGAGTTTATTTCATAATTGACACTATAAAATGATCAATAAAAATTACAAATGATCAATAAAAAAATACAAATGAACAAAAGTTTCAAATTTTACTCGTGGTTTATAAACCAATTTATGTAAATAAAACAAATTTATATAAATTTATATAAATAAATAAATTTAAAAAATTCAAATTTTACACGCCATTTAAATAGTGTAATTTTTAAGAACAAAAAGTAAGTATATATCTAAAAAAAATCTCTCGATTACAATTCATCTAAGAAAATCTTACACAATTTACTTAAACAAAAAAATTTGTTGTAAAATTTGAGTGAATGTTTCTTTGTGTTTATAATAGGGGTGAGCATGGTACGGTATGGTACAGTATTTAGCTCGTACCGATACCGTACCAAATATTTCAGTTCGGTATGGGATTTTGGTCCGTACCAATCCCGATCCCGAAATATCGGTTCGGTATGGTTCGGTATCGGTATCGGTACAAATCGGGATAAATATACATACCTACTTTACACATTAAAATTTAACAATACCCCTTTATTTTTGAAAATTAAAATTGAATTTAAATAAAAAAATATGAAAAATTTTAAAAAATGAATATTTAAATGCAAGAGACGCGTATTAAAATTTAGTTTATATTTCACAAACTAAAAAAAATGAATGACAACAAAAAAATATTTCAAATCTTTGCGAATACTTTTATGTTCATACACAAAAATTAAAACTCAAATAAAAATATAATTTACACATCATAGAACTTGAACCAAATTTTTTTAAAAATTACTCCCTCCGTCCCGGAGTATTTGTCCACTTTTGACTTTTGGAACTATTCATCTAAGCACTTTGACTCATCAAATTCTCTCAATGTGTAAGCCTAAATATAGTCATGTGTGATCTTGTTTGATTTGTCTTAACATATAGATTATTAATATATAATTTCTATAATTTTTTAATATACAAATTACAAGATAAAATGGATTAAAGAAGTGTATTGGATGGTGTGTAAAAATGAAAGTGGACAAATACTTTGGGACGAAGGTAATATTATCTAGTGAAGGAATATAAAAATATTACTCCGGGGTATTATTTTTATAATATTTTAGTATATATGTTCGGTACGGGATTTTCGGTATGGGACGTCATCTCGTACCGTTCCCGAATACCGTACCGACCATTCGGTTCGGTTTCTTCTCGGTACTTTTTCGGTTCGGTATTCTCGGCTTTTTCGGGAAATTTCGGTATCGGTTTGGTACTTGCTCACCCCTAGTTTATAAGTTGGTTAAATTAGCCATTTAAATCACATACTATTATTTTTTAGCAATTTAAAATTCATTTTTTTAATTGAAATGGAAAGAATTTTTTTTAGAGTGTGTATATATAAATGAATACTCCGTAATAATGAGTGCCCACTATAAAATTTGTTTGATGAAATTGGGTTGTCTACAATAGTTGACTTGATTGCCACCTCCTCCTTTTCCGTCTTCACACAGAAAACCCCTCTTCCATCCAAGGTACAATTTCCCAATCATCCGAACCAGAAATTTACAAAATCCAGATTCTTTCCCCGGGAGAGATTGAGAGAGAGAGAGAGAGGGGCGGAGGGAGAGAGAGAGATGGGGAACTCCTTCGGTTGCTCTGCGTCGGGGGAGAGGCTGGTGTCGGCGGCGAGAGACGGCGACTTCGTTGAAGCTAAGATGTTGCTCGATTGCAATCCCTATTTAGCCAAATACTCCACTTTCGGCGGCCTCAACTCTCCCCTCCATTTCGCCGCCGCCAAGGGCCACAATGAGGTTTTCATTTCTGTTTCTTTTTTTTTTTTGACTTTTTTTTTTGTTATTTGGGTTCCTTTCATATTTCATGGTGGGAGATATATATATTTTTTATAATTAGATTGTGGCATTGTTGCTTGAGAACGGGGCTGATGTGAATTCAAGAAATTACTGTGGCCAGGTATAGGGTCTTGATTCTTTGTGCTAATCAATGATAAACTCTTATGGTGGGGGTGATCGCTTTCAATTTTTATTTCAATTTTGACTCTTGAATGTTTTTTTTCATAGACTGCGTTGATGCAAGCATGTCGGTATGGCCACTGGGAAGTTGTTCAAACTCTTCTTCTTTTTAGATGCAATGTGAGTCTACCTTATGCTGACTATATTTTATTTATCTTTTTCGTTCTTTTGCATTGTTGATCTTTACTTATGAATGCAATTATAAGCTTATAGCCTTGCTTCCTTTTAATGATAAGCATAATCTTCTCGTGAGGATTTTAAAAATTCAAATTTTATGTTTAGAAAAGAAATCATAGTGTGGCACCCCTTCAGGTTACAAGAGCAGACTATCTAAGCGGGAGGACTGCTCTCCATTTTGCTGCAATGCATGGACATGTTAGGTGTGTGAGATTGGTGGTGGCTGATTTTGTCCCAAGTGCCCCCTTTGAATCTCTAAGCGGAGAATCCACCCCTAGTACAAATGACAACTCACATTCTAAAACCAAGAACGAAAAAGGGTAAGCGGTTCATTATTTGCTTCATTGAATGGGATGCATAACGTTGGGATATTTATGGGTTTGTTGTTGTATTATTTGCTGGGAATGTGATATTGAATTTCTTCCCACCTGGTAGCATTGGGTTTCATCCTATCAAGATTTTCTACCAAACACTAACTCATTTGATTGCATAGTGTGAAAGAGCTTGTAGTCCATAATAAAGAAAGTAGGGTAGAAGTTACTCCGTACATGTTTGAATGAAATGTGGCATCAGATCAATAAAAGGAAATTACAAATAAATTTCAATTTTAGATCATGATTCTTTAATTTATTTAAAGAATATATTTTAAAAACATTTTTTGAAAGTTCTGAAAATTCAGTCATTTCAGCCCCAAATTTTAACAACGCTTTCATCCACTTCAGTCTTTCTAGTAAAATTAGAATTCTCCAATCGCTGTCGTAGTTTAGTTTGTACATGATTCTGCGCTCTAGGACCTAGCCCTTCTTTTATGTAAATGCTTTACTTAATTGCAGGAGTCTGTCAAAGTTTGTAAATAAGGCTGCTGATGGTGGCATTACTGCTCTTCATATGGCTGCATTGAATGGATATTACGATTGTGTCCAGCTCCTACTTGATCTTAATGCGGATATATCAGCTGTCACTTTTCACTATGGATCGTCCATGGATCTTATAGGCATGTTTTTGTTTAAGGATCATAATGTACATATTTGTTTCTGATCACTGTGATCCTAACCTGAATTTCTTAACTGCACCGGTTTCTAGGATCAGGAAGCACTCCTTTGCATTATGCTGCATGTGGGGGTAATCTTAAATGCTGCCAGGTGATGGTTTTAACTCAATGGTTTTAGATGATTTCAAAGGAAAATGTAAAAGATTACGGATTTTTTTTTTCTAATTTTTACAAATATTTAGACTTCAATCTTTATACAATAGAAATATACAAATTGAGTTTGAATGAAGATCTAGAATGAATTTATTGATTTTGGGCCTATCTTTTATTTCCCCTAAATTTTCTTTCCTCCTGAGTTTTCTCATTTTCTTTTCCTAGTATTTCATGGTTCCAAAAGAACCTGTAGTTGGAAGAGAACTTATTTTCCTTGATTTCTTTGGATTTCATGGTATGCAGATGCTAATTGCAAGATGTGCCAGTCGGTTGACATTGAACTGCAATGGGTAATGCTTATCTTCCTGTTCTTGATTCTAAACACCCAATAAACATTTTTTAGTTGATGCTATTATGCTAATACATCTGTTTAGTGCATTAATAAAAATGTCCTCTCTTGCAGGTTGCTTCCTCTTGATATTGCCAGGATGTGGGGGCGACATTGGCTCGAGTCTTTGCTTGATCCAAATTCTGATGCCGTTATACCAATTTTTCCACCTTCAAACTATTTATCATTGCCGCTCTTGAGTGTCCTTAACATTGCAAGGTACCCTATCATTTGCCCTTGCATGTGTGGCATACTTCTATGGAATCACGAATGTAATTCGTGCTCTAGACAGTAGCAAACTTGCCTAATACCCTATATGGCCATTGTACTTGGCACTTTATTTTTCCCCTTAAAATATGCCAATCCTACGTTTAAAACATTACAATCCGCTGTCCATTGTAATGAGTATGACTATTGTGATTCACTGCAGAGAGTACGGTTTGCAGTCCTCAGCCACCACCCCTTCAGGTGATGCTGATACATGTGCCGTCTGCCTGGAGAGAACATGTTCAGTTGCTGCCGAAGGTCTATTCTTTTCTTTTTCATATTCTTCACTTTCACATCAAACATTACATAAATTATCTAATAACTTATACTACTATAAAAATGGCTAAAATGATCATCTTCTGCAAAAAAGTACCACAAACCATACATTTCCAATACCAAACTAATTTGATTACATTTTTTTTGGGTGTACACTTTCAGGATGTGGACATTCACTTTGTGTAAGATGTGCACTATACCTTTGCTCAACCAGCAATGCCCAGTCTGAACTGCCAAGCGGCCACCCTGGCTCCATCCGCTGCCCTTTCTGCAGGCACGGCATTGTCTCCTTCCTCAAACTGCCCGGTTCTGCTGCAAAAGAACTCAAAGTCAACCTGTCCCTCAGCTTATGCACCCCGTGCGTCCTACACCCCCGCGACCTAGAACCAAAGTACCTGCCCGGGGGTGGGACCGGGCACGACCTCAGAAAGAACCGCGTTGCTTCCTTGTCTTCTTCGGACATCATGCTCTGCCCTGTCACCTGCAGTCCCTTCCCTTCTGTGACTATCCCTTTGTGCACGTGCAACGAAGGACCGTGCCCTACTTTTGAGTCCAGAGAGGACAGAAGCCAGGGCGAGGGGTCTCCTGCCCGGGGAGGAGAGCCTCCCGCGGCGGCCTCAGAGGAGGAAGACAAGATGGGGGTGAGGTTGGAGAAAACGACGTGTTCCAACATGTTTTGGGGGAGGAGGAGTTGCAGTAGGGAAAACCAGTGTAATGCCGAGATAAATGTCTGATTTTGGAAAAGGAGGATGATGAATGTCTTCTTCTTCTTCTTGACATCCTCTGAAATATGGGAATCAGTAAAGGCTTTCGCCAAGCCACCCCCCCCCCCTGATTTGCAGGGCGTGGTTGAAGAAGAAGAAGAAGGCGCGCGCATGAAGAAGGGGGAGAGATGCGCAAAACTTTGTTGATTATTAGTCCCACCACACCTTATTTGTTGATTATTATTTTTGTGTTGTGTATAGGTCCTCTCAATCTCAGAATGTTTGGTTTCTGCGTTTCCACTCCTAAAGTTCCATGTCGTGTTTTTTTGGGCAGTGAATGCAAATATGCATCATCATCATATAACAAAAACCAATGCTCTCCCTACTCACACTCCTTTTCTGCTATTATACAACAAATATATTAAATAATCCCTTTTTTTTACTCATTATATGGATGGTTCATTCAAATTGGAGGCTAATCATAATACTCCCTAACTAGCATGATCAACGTTAGAGTCACAAACAAGGTGGTCATGTTCCAGATCTTCCCAACTTCGTCTCCCCACAGTCGAATTGAGGGCCACACATCTTCTTCCTCTGTATTATTATTTTTGTTTCTAGATATCGTGAAATAAACCTTAAACAAATCGAGAACTAACTTTGAAAACTATAAAAAAAGGGGGGAAAATGAAAGAAAGAAATGAAGCCTTAACCACGGGTTCCGGTTCCTAAATGTTACTAATTGAACAACACACACATACCTTCCAAACTAGGGTTTGTATATACATTACTTTTACATTACAAACTTTACTATGTTACAAACACAGACCCTTTGAAATCTCACATTTTCACTCCATTATTCGGTATATGAAAAAAAGTGGTTAATCCTAATCGACCTCACCAATACCTCCTTACTAGAAGTTAACCCATAGAGTTTTTTAAAAACTAAAACTAGTAAAAAACGGGCTTCTGGAGAACGATTCCACAATGGTTAGGCTAAGTATTCCATGTTTAATCACTCATTCTTTGATTTCGTCTTTGGCAATGTCTAATCCACGGCTTCCCGTCGCCCTCTTGTGGATCGGAGGGCTCTAGTTTCATGCCGGCCGCCGCCACGGGGAGTTGCAGCCGCAGCTCGCTGTCCTGCTCAGCCGAATCATTTTCACCTTCTCTCGCCCGCTTCGACCCGATCGGAACTCCAAATAGTGTCGCTCTTGCTTCCGGCTGGCTCTCTCCGCCGCAAGCTGCAGGGGCGGCCGGCATTAGATCCAGCGGCTTTAGCGGCCTCGACCTGCTATCTGCAGGCTGATTGCTGCAGTTGTTGGAGTAATTTGACATTAATAGGTATATGTTGTTGCAGAGACTCTTCATCTGGCTCAGCTCCTTGCTCAGCTGCGTGTTCTCCTTCCTCAGCCGCTCGTTTTCTCCGATCAGCTCCGCCATGCTTTTTCCTTGGGCTGCTGCTTCTCTGGAGCCCGTCCCCGGAGAGGAATTGGATGACACAACTTGCTCCTCGCACGAATTGGAAGGCGAAACTGTCTTCACCGTCTGTGGTGGAGGAACCGCCGCTGCGACCACAGTCACCGCCGCAGAGGCTACCACCGCGGCTGGGGCGACCGCGCCTGTGGCCGCCGCTGGCGACACAATTTTCCGACGCTGTATATCGCACAGCAAACGCTTCTCGCCTCTCCTAAAGCAATCGTTTGCGAACTCCCATCTGTCCGGCACAATTTTGCGGAATCCCTGAGAATTGAAATCAAATCGAGTTTTAATCGGAATCAAATTAAATTGAAATCGAATCATCAAAGGAGAAAAGGTTTTGGGCGCGAATCTGGAGATATAGAACTTACATATGTGTTGAGCTGGCGAACGAAGCTGGAGAAATTGTTGTGTTTGAAATGTTTAGGGAGCAAATCTCTGGCGAACTCAGTCGGATTCCAGACGATGAAGGTGGATCCGTCTTCGTTCCAGGAGATCACGTCGTCAACGGAATGGTCGTCGACGAGCTGGTACGTTTTCGTCAGGAACGGCGTCGGCACAGCCCGCTGCGTCTCTCCGCTGACTGACGTTTCTCCTCCGTTACGCTCCACCGGCTGCGGAGGAGGAGGAGCCATAAATTATCCAAATCCGGACCTGAATCGAAACCAAAAACGTTACCGAACGCCGCGAAGGCAGAATTAATTCCCGAATTTCAGAAGAAGAAAGGAGAGGTCCACTTTAATGGAGTTTCCGGTGCAGATCTGGTGTGCAGAGGCAGGGCTGCGACGGAGGCGGTGGCGGAGGAGGAGGGCGAGGATAGAGGTGGTGGTGGCGGAAGAGGATAGGAACGAATGGTGGTAATTCTAGAAGGTTCCGATGGGTGGATGGTACTTATTGGGGTTGGGATGGAAACAGCTGGAAGGTACAGTAAACGTTAGAAGGTTCAAGAAAAGGGGAGAAAAGTAGGAAAAAAGAATCTGGAAGGGGGGAAAATATGATAATTAAGGCTCTTCGGGAAGTTTCTCTTCATAGACTCGGTTTGTTAGGCTTGCGTGTTCCATGATACGTGTTAGGTAAATCAATAAATGCCTTCAAAAAAATTCATCATTTTTTACTAAAAACACTAAAATAAGAATAAAAAAATACTTTCTTCGTCTCAAATTATTTGTCACATTTCTATTACCGAGGTAAAATATCAAGTTTTTTCAATTCATTTTATTTACATATTGGTAAAGAAATAAAAAACAAAAATTACATATCAAAAAACTACATGAAAAGTTCTTCGAAATAAGAGGTGTCAAGAATATTTTATTTTATAAAATAACCAATGAAAACGTAAAAATAAACAAAAGTTCCCGCGACTGTTGAAAAAGCAAATGTGACAAATAATTTGGGACGAAGAGAGTACAAGTATTTGAAAGTAAAAATTAAATATTTTTATTCTCGAAATAAATGTTAGAGAATATTTACAATATCAATAATGATCAAATAAATTACAAAAAATTATTATGAAATGATTTTGGTGATCATGTACATTACAAAAAATTATTATGAAATGATTATGTAAATTATTATTTACAATACCAATCATGATTATGTCATGAGGTGATCCGAGATTGCTATGACGCTCTTTTTGTAAAATTGACGATTTCTATTATAGGTAAACTTTCCTACTCCGTCCTAACTCGAACACACCATCAAATTCTTCAATTACACGTAGGGGCGGATCTACATGTATGAATACGGGATTAGTTGCCCCCAGTCAATTTTTTTTATTTCATAATATATAGTATTAAAATAATTTTTTTTGTAGAGAATTAAAAGAACGACCTCAGTAAAAAAATAGTTTGACCCTATTGAGAAAAGAAAATCATAGTTTAAAAATAAAAAATTATCGCTTAAAAACATATACATGTAAAATATTTAAAATATCATAATTAGATTATGTTATGATATATTTTGTATTTTATTTTTCTACTTTAAAAATAATTTTTTTGATTTGAATACTTATTTGAAATTGAATTAATTTATTTTTTATCATTATTAAATGCTTTTAAAAAATTAAGAGTGCCACCCTTGAACCCCGCTATACTCTTTAGTCTGTATTTGTTTTCAGTCATATTTTTTTCTGAATCTACCATAAATTGCAAGCTTAAATTAATTTTTATTTTGGAATCAATTTTTGAGGATTAGGCCAAGCTAAAAGTATGACACAACTTTCCACAAAAAAAAAAAGTTTATCAGTACAACTTATCACTAACTCCGTAATCACCTCTCTTCCACTCTCATTGACACATCAACCCCTTTGTCATCTGAAAAATCTCTCTCCGATCATGATTGCCCTAGAACTCTGGGGGCTATTGAAGGCGGCAATCACAACATACACGGGTCTGTCTCCGGCAACTTTCTTCACAGTTACTGCCCTGGGTCTGGCAATCTACTATTTGGCTTCCGGGCTGTTCGGATCATCTTCGGGCCGCGCCGGCGGCTACAGGAGGCCCGGTGAGTTGGAGAAGGAGGAGATCGAGCCTCTTCCGCCTCCGGTTCAGGTCGGCGAGATCACGGAGGAGGAGCTGAAGCTGTACGATGGGTCTGACCCGAAGAAGCCTTTGCTCATGGCTATCAAAAGCCAGATCTANAGTTACTGCAGTTATGATTATCAGTTTCATTGCCATCGTTCTGATTTTAACTTTTGTGTGTTCTTTTGAAGAAAGGTCCTTTTGTTAGTCTTTTGGTTTAGCTGTGTATGTGTGTGATCTCTTAATCTTTTACCCCTTTTTTTAATGTTAAAGCTCTCCAAACATGTGTTTGACAAACACCCCACAAGTATTATTCTGAGTAGAAAAAAGAAAGGATAAAAGGATGAGCAAGTCTTCTTGGGAGGTGATGATGATGAATTATGCAAGTCTATCTTGGGAGGTGGTCTCTTCATACTTCAGAAACAGTGAGTAGTGCAAATCGGACAGCAGGCTAAGTATTCTTCTTCACTAAGATTTTAACCAGTGTAGCAACAATGGAACAAACGGCTTGGAAGAACATCAGGCCCGAGCAGAAATAGAGCTCCTTGTAGTAATCCCCCACAAAGTTATCCAACTCTTGGTTTTCGTCGAGGAGGAACAGCTCCCTTTCTCTACAATCCAAATGCACATTCACGTTTGAATTTTGATCTTCACCAGTAAGCACATTACCTTGAATCCCTTCCAACCTATTCAAGCCCGCAGAACTCTTATACCTCAAGAAAGCCTCCTTTAACCTGTTATTCCGGCGAATCACGATCAAGGTTTCTTTCTCTATGCCTCTATCGCGGCAAGTGAGCATCACAAGATAAAACGTGAACATAAAGACAAACATCACTCGCATAGAGAAAGAAACCTTGATCGTAATTCGCCGGAATAACAGGTTAAAGGAGGCTTTCTTGAGGTATAAGAATTCTGCGGGCTTGAGTAGGTTGGAAGGGAATGTGCTTGCTGGTGAAGATCAAGAGTCAAACGTGAATGTGCATTTGGATTGTAGAGAAAGGGAGCTGTTCCTCCTCGACGAAAATCAAGAGTTGGATAACTTTGTGGGGGGTTACTACAAGGAGCTCTATTTCTGCTCGGGTCTGATGTTCTTCCAAGCCGTTTGTTCCATTGTTGCTTCACTGGTTAAAATCTTAGTGAAGAAGACTATTTAGCCTGCTGTCCGATTTGCACTACTCACTGTTTCTGAAGTATGAAGTGACCACCTCCCAAGAAGACTTGCATAATTCATCATCATCACCGTACCATCATCTAAAAGGATAAAAGACACACCGGCATAAGCTTCAAACTCCAAACCCAAAGCTAGCTAAATTGGATGAGTCTAATGTAGTAGAAAAATGGTTATGATCATGTACTTTTTTGTGTTGAATGTTGCAGAATGTTTTATGGACCAGGGGGGCCATACGCGCTGTTTGCAGGAAGGGACGCAAGCAGAGCGCTAGCTAAGATGTCATTCGAGGAAAAGGACCTTACCGGCGACATTTCCGGGCTAGGCGCCTTTGAGCTCGATGCTTTACGCGACTGGGAATACAAATTCATGAGCAAATATGTCAAGGTTGGGACTGTCAAGAGTGGAGGAGCATCGCCACCAGAAGGCGGCGATGACGTGACTCGTGGCAGCGGTGCACCCACAGAGACAACCAATGGCGTTGACCGTGCGGCGGAAGAAAGTCAACCGGAGAGTTCTATAGATCATGAGACATCATCAGGTGGTGGTGATGGTGAGAAAAAAGATTAATGCTGGGCATTAGTTCATGAAGCATGCACAAGTTACATCAAGTCCTTCAAAACCCAGAAAATTGATCTCATGGATGACGTTTAGAAACTTTTGGTCAGTTGTTAAGATGATGATTTTGGAATTTGGATGTGTGATTTGTATTTAGCCATTTAGCTAGAAATCAAATTATATTATAATTAAGTTCATCTGATCGACGCATTGCCTTCATTGCCATTCGTCTTCCAATCCAAAATCCACAACATCATATATATGTGTGTGTGTGTGTGTGTGTGTGTTTGTGTGTGTGTGAGTGTGTGTGTGGTGTTAACATGCCAATTGATCAATTTCTCCATTCTTACAGCTACATAACATAGCATTACAATAGCACAAAAATGAGGGAAGGAAAAAAAAGGCTAATTAAATTAAAGCATCCCCTCTAAAGTCTTCGATGTATATGTTTTTAACAATTCAACAGCAAGGCTTTTAGCATGCATAAGCAACTGGAAGATCCTTCCCTCATTATCATCATCTTCCTCTTCAACTTGTGTTGAGTTTATCATTACAATGAAATCCTTCCACCCATTCCCAAATTCCTCCAACACCATCTTCCCATCATCTTTCTGGCAATCTTGGAGCAACAGTCTCTGCTCTCTCTCATGTACCACTGCTTCTAATCTTTCAGCCATGAAAATTCCTCGCCGAATGCATGAAGCTGGAAGCTGAAACCAAACATCATTTTGGCAAATGTAAGAGCGTCTTCTATACACAATATATCAGTCCGTAAAGAGCAAGAGTGTGTTTGAATTGCAAAAAACAAACCTGTGCGAGCTGAGCAACCTTAAACCCAAAGCTTCTCTCTGAGATGCCAGGAACAAGTTTGTAGAGATAGGTGATGTTTTCACCATTCATTTCATCATGGTTTGAATCACTCTTAGATGTCAAGTAAGACACATGATAGATCCCAACACTGCCCGGAAACTCATTCTTGATGTCAGCAATCTTGGGGTAGTGGGTGACAAAGAGGACTGGACACTTCTTGCGTTCCAGAAGATGTTGCAATGTTGCATGTGCAATTGCAACCCCATCGTGCGTGCTCGTGCCTCTCCCAAGCTCATCAATTATGACCAGTGAGTTAGCCGTGCATTTCTTTAGAATCTGAGATGTCTCACTCAGCTCTTCTAGGAATGTGCTTCTTCCTCGTTGGATACTATCGGATGCACCCAAACGAGTGTAGATCCCATCCCGAACATGGAGCTTTGCCAATGTTGCAGGTACATATGAACCAACCTATGTGAAACATGAACACAAGAATTGGGAAGGAGATATAATCTGAAGTGAAAGTTTTGGCTTGTTTGGTTTGGGGGATTTACCAAAAGCTTTGTATGTGTTGTCTCACCTGAGCCATGATAGCGATAAGAGCAACCTGACGAATATAACAGCTCTTTCCTCCCATATTTGGTCCAGTTACAATTTGACAGTACTCACTTTCGACGTGCAATTTCGTATCGTTTGGGACGAAATTATCTTGTAACACAGTCTCCAAAACCTGCTCGAATTTTGGCTTTTTCTATCAGAAACTTATAAGCGCAGAAATAATGACATTAGACTCACATAAAGTGTCCTTGGAATAATACCGGGTGACGACCATTGGTGATATGTATCTGAACAGGTTCATCATCATGAGCAAAAACGGGACGTGTATAATTCTACATAACATAACAAGTTATATGGGTAAGCGACCACGAATAAAGACATTAAGGTTTAAATTAAATTAAGACAAGTAACCAATAATAACCTTATTTCTTGAGAGAATGGCAAGTGCATTTAGACAATCTAATGAAGCTAGAGCTTGAACACTTGCTTGAAATTCACCATAGTATCCATCAAATGATTTCAAGAATTCATTCCATGCAGATCGGCAAACAACAGTTAGCTCCTCCTTTGCCAATGATAACTGGTCTAAGACAGTTATTACTTCTGGTGGATGATATCGTATTGCTTTCTTAATGCTATTAACCTTCATCCAATTAAGGGGAACCTTAACATCGAGAGGCAACTGCAGCACTTCAATCCACATTAAGTTATTACCCAAATGTGATACACACAAACTGCATCTATGCTAATGGCGTAATTAATGCTCCTAAGATCTTTAGAATCATTTTTGTTTTTTAATACCAAAACCATGTTTTATTAAGGATATTTTAGTAAACTTCCACCTGTTTTCAACTATCATTGAAAGCCATAAAAAGTCAATTTGAGAAGATCTATGGTGGACGGAGGGAGTAGTATTTATAGATTTACATGGTGTAAAATATAGTCAGTTGTATTATTTACAAACGATAAATGTTAAAAGAATATGATGGAGCACAAATATTATCAAAGGCTAGAGCAAAAAACTACTTTGACCCATGTACCTCTATTAAATGTGTCACTCCGGATACAGTCGTGTATTCCAAATTGCGAATTTTGAGCTGTTTTTTATATAGACCAATCAATGAATCCAACTTCTCATTTGCGGAGCGAACACTTCTTTGTGCTTCAGCTACCTAGTAAACAAAGAAATTGTTGGAGTATGATTAGAAACAAATAAGTAGATGCAAGAACGGTATATATACAACACTATAAAGCTGGGTATTAAGACGGAACTCTTCAATTAAACCTCTGGGAATTTCCCATCAGAAATGATAAAGAGATTGTGAAGATCCTTCTGATCAGCAGCTTCCTTGTTTAAAGTTGACAAAAGCATAGTAGCAGTATGCATGACACTGGATGAGGAGGCAGTTGATATCAACTTCTGTAACAATGAAGAGCGAACCGTGCTTCGACCAATACTATTGTTATCCCCTTCTATATGGATTTTCTGAAGTTGTTTGCCAGCAACTAATATAGCTTGAATAACTGCAATAAACTGTTATAGTACTTATGTCAAATGACAGTAGAACATGAATGAATGTTCCCATAGAAAAATCCTCTTCAATTAAACCTTTTAACTTAGGTAATGAATACTCCCTCATCCTCAGAATATCCACGGCTTAATCCCAACTAGTTGTGGTAGATAGCATTAAATCTATGGTGCCAATTAATTGTACAAAATCGATTAACACTATGATTATGCAAAAAAAATAATAATCTGGTGGCAATGTTTTGTGCTGGAGGCCCATCCTATAGCAACCTTCTCATAAGAAGAAAAAATGAGAACAAATCCTCGTCATCATATGTAATTTTTCCATGCATGGAAAATATAATGAGAGGCGATGGGCGCTGAGATAAGTGCTATTGTCATGTCCATTACATCCGTCCAAAACAGTCATGTTACAAATACTTTGTTGTTCCCAAAAAAAGAGTCCAATTTTAAAAGTCACTTTTCGTTTTGAACTAAAATTCATGCAAAACTAGACTGCAAGCGGGTTTAGCCATAACTTGTAAAAACATGCACCTTGATTGAGTTGACTAAACATAAAAAGTAGTACCCTACTCAAATAAGACAGATTTGGTACGGAGGGAGTATAATGCATTATGCATGGCATGATATTCCATTCAAAAACTCGAAATGGAGAACTATGCTAAGTGATAACTGCTAACAGGAAGTCATATCATCACCTCAGATGATGAAGCCGTTCTATGAAAGATTCTTGTTATCCCGCGTTGAATGTCAGGCAATCTCCCTAAAGCGGATAAAACTGAAGTGAGTAAATGGTGAATCTCTGGCTGCACCACAATGACGCCACCATCATTTTCATCTACGTCAGATTCATGAGAAGGTTTGTAAGATTTAATAGAGTCTGCAATCTCAGATACTGCATCAAGACGAGCATTTATCATGTTTCTGTCACATAAAGGATGAGTCACCTGCAGCAAAAGTGAGACCAATCATGTCATGCCTATACTAACATAATAAAGTATAATCTTAACATATTAGTGGCAAATACATATCCTTACCCAATGTCTGAGTAGCCTTGAACCAAATACTGTGAGAGTGTGATTCATACACTGCAGCAATGAGCCAGCTTCGGATCCATCAGAATTATTCTTCAGAACCTGCAACAAACAGCAAATTGAAAATGATCGGATCCTTGAAAACGATGGTGAAGGGGACAAACATGATGATGGAAATTAATTTCTTATGTTTGGTTTTCCTTTTAGAAGTACAACATATTATTGAACATGATTAATGTTTTTAAATGTTTTTTCAGTGTTATGTTCATTGCCAATGTTGTTAAAAGAGTCGTAATTGACAATGCTTTAGCTTCTAATAAATGATGGACTAAATCAAAATAGCACATTAAACTTCTTTAGCTTCTTACTTTCAATGAAGTTTTGCATAGTAAAGGCATCAATGCATCAAGGGTATAACGGAAACAATCTTCCTAATTTCTATATTTTATAGAGGTAAGATTGCGTAAATCTTGACCCCCGACCCAACGAAGTTGGGATTACACACTGAATTGTAGTTGTAAATGTTTACGCAATGTATACATTTAGATTTTCTTTTTTTGCTTGGAGATTTCTTTTTATGTCTATATAAAAGAAAAAAAAGAGTTTGAACAAATATCTAAAACAAACTTAATAAATTGCATCCTGATTTTTGTTTTCCACAAATTTTGTTTCCTTCGAAATTTCCACTTCAAACAAACCCTAACATTATGAATCAAGGGGAAGCAATGCACCTACAACACTGCAATTACACAAAGAACTTGTAGACTTCACAGTGTTTAATAAAAGTGTTGAAAAGTGAAATGTGTTTGTGAAACATAAAAAGTGTGGTTGAAATTTATTTTGAAGCAAGATAAAGAAATAAGCAATGTATGTGTTCATACTTGTAGGGAACACATGGAGTATTACTTAGAGCTGATAAAACAAGCAATGTATGTGTTCATTATACTCAATGTAACTTTATTACATACCAAGTCACGGCCCTTTAGCTAACACACACATCCCCAAAAAAACAAAATCTAATAAACGAGCATATGAATTCATCTTAGTGAATGATGGATGCACTTACCTCCAACTGTTGTAGTGCATTGGCTGAAAGATTCATCTCCATTTTGCTGGTGAAAGTATGGAATGAAGCACCCAGACAGATAATCCTTTCTAATCCAAATTGTTTAAGATGATGAATAGTCAATGCTAATGATAGGATAGCTAAATCAGGCACGTCCATAATTCCCTTCAAAAAAATCAAAGAGGAATTAGTTTGGTCCGATGGATGGAGCACTTATGAACCCACGAACAG